AGGAATACCTTAAACGATTTGTGGATCGATTCTCCATAAATCTGCATCAAAATCTGGAAACAAATTATTTTTTCGATGTTTTTCCAAATTTTATGGGATGTCCCCTTCAAAATGTGGAAAATGCATGGGGAGAAATATATGGCCCACTGCGAAGGGCATATCTTGGCCAATATTACTCCGATTCTTGAGAGGAATACCTTAAACTATTTGTGGATCGATTCTCCATAAATCTGCATCAAAATCTGGAAACAAATTATTTTTTAGATTTTTTTCCAAATTTTATGGGATGTCCCCTTCAAAATGTGGAAAATGCTTGGGTAGAAATATATGGCCCACTGCGAAGGGCATATCTTGGCCAATATTACTCCGATTCTTGAGAGGAATACCTTAAACGATTTGTGGATCGATTCTCCATAAATCTGCATCAAAATCTGGAAACAAATTATTTTTTAGATTTTTTTCCAAATTTTATGGGCCCTCCCCTTCAAAATGTGGAAAATGCTTGGGTAGAAATATATGGCCCACTGCGAAGGGCATATATTGGCCAATATTACTCCGATTCTTGAGAGGAATACCTTAAACGATTTGTGGATCGATTCTCCACAAATCTGCATCAAAATCTGGAAACAAATTATTTTTTAGATTTTTTTCCAAATTTTGTGGGCCATCCCCTTCAAAATGTGGAAAATGCATGGGGAGAAATATATGGCCCACTGCGAAGCGCATATCTTGGCCAATATTTATCCGATTCCTGAGCGGAATACCTTAAACGATTTGTGGATCGATTCTCCTTAAATCTCTATCAAAATCTGGAAACAAATTATTTTTTAAATTTTTTTCCAAATTTTGTGGGATGTCCCCTTCAAAATGTGGAAAATGCATGGGGAGAAATATATGGCCCCTGCGAAGGCTATATCTTGGCCAATATTTATCCGATTCTTGAGAGGAATACCTTAAACGATTTGTGGATCGATTCTCCATAAATCTGCATCAAAATCTGGAAACAAATTATTTTTTTCGATTTTTTCCAAATTTTGTGGGATGTCCCCCTTCAAAATGTGGAAAATGCATGGGGAGAAATATATGGCCCACTGCGAAGGGCATATCTTGGCCAATATTACTCCGATTCTTGAGAGGAATACCTTAAACGATTTGTGGATCGATTCTCCATAAATCTGCATCAAAATCTGGAAACAAATTATTTTTTCGATTTTTTTCCAAATTTTGTGGGATGTCCCCTTCAAAATGTGGAAAATGCATGGGGAGAAATATATGGCCCACTGCGAAGGGCATATCTTGGCCAATATTACTCCGATTCTTGAGAGGAATACCTTAAACTATTTGTGGATCGATTCTCCATAAATCTGCATCAAAATCTGGAAACAAATTATTTTTTAGATTTTTTTCCAAATTTTATGGGATGTCCCCTTCAAAATGTGGAAAATGCTTGGGTAGAAATATATGGCCCACTGCGAAGGGCATATCTTGGCCAATATTACTCCGATTCTTGAGAGGAATACCTTAAACGATTTGTGGATCGATTCTCCATAAATCTGCATCAAAATCTGGAAACAAATTATTTTTTAGATTTTTTTCCAAATTTTATGGGCCCTCCCCTTCAAAATGTGGAAAATGCTTGGGTAGAAATATATGGCCCACTGCGAAGGGCATATATTGGCCAATATTACTCCGATTCTTGAGAGGAATACCTTAAACGATTTGTGGATCGATTCTCCACAAATCTGCATCAAAATCTGGAAACAAATTATTTTTTAGATTTTTTTCCAAATTTTGTGGGCCATCCCCTTCAAAATGTGGAAAATGCATGGGGAGAAATATATGGCCCACTGCGAAGCGCATATCTTGGCCAATATTTATCCGATTCCTGAGCGGAATACCTTAAACGATTTGTGGATCGATTCTCCTTAAATCTCTATCAAAATCTGGAAACAAATTATTTTTTAAATTTTTTTCCAAATTTTGTGGGCCATCCCCTTCAAAATGTGGAAAATGCATGGGGAGAAATATATGGCCCACTGCGAAGCGCATATCTTGGCCAATAATACTCCGATTCTTGAGAGGAATACCTTAAACGATTTGTGGATCGATTCTCCATAAATCTGCATCAAAATCTGGAAACAAATTATTTTTTCGGTTTTTTTCCAAATTTTGTGGGCCATCCCCTTCAAAATGTGGAAAATGCATGGGGAGAAATATATGGCCCACTGCGAAGCGCATATATTGGCCAATATTACTCCGATTCTTGAGAGGAATACCTTAAACAATTTGTGGATCGATTCTCCACAAATCTGCATCAAAATCTGGAAACAAATTATTTTTCAGATTTTTTTCCAAATTTTGTGGGCCATCCCCTTCAAAATGTGGAAAATGCATGGGGAGAAATATATGGCCCACTGCGAAGCGCATATCTTGGCCAATATTTATCCGATTCCTGAGCGGAATACCTTAAACGATTTGTGGATCGATTCTCCTTAAATCTCTATCAAAATCTGGAAACAAATTATTTTTTAAATTTTTTTCCAAATTTTGTGGGCCATCCCCTTCAAAATGTGGAAAATGCATGGGGAGAAATATATGGCCCACTGCGAAGGGCATATCTTGGCCAATATTTATCCGATTCCTGAGCGGAATACCTTAAACGATTTGTGGATCGATTCTCCTTAAATCTCTATCAAAATCTGGAAACAAATTATTTTTTAAATTTTTTTCCAAATTTTGTGGGCCATCCCCTTCAAAATGTGGAAAATGCATGGGGAGAAATATATGGCCCACTGCGAAGCGCATATCTTGGCCAATAATACTCCGATTCTTGAGAGGAATACCTTAAACGATTTGTGGATCGATTCTCCACAAATCTGCATCAAAATCTGGAAACAAATTATTTTTTAGATTTTTTTCCAAATTTTGTGGGCCATCCCCTTCAAAATGTGGAAAATGCATGGGGAGAAATATATGGCCCACTGCGAAGCGCATATCTTGGCCAATATTTATCCGATTCCTGAGCGGAATACCTTAAACGATTTGTGGATCGATTCTCCTTAAATCTCTATCAAAATCTGGAAACAAATTATTTTTTAAATTTTTTTCCAAATTTTGTGGGCCATCCCCTTCAAAATGTGGAAAATGCATGGGGAGAAATATATGGCCCACTGCGAAGCGCATATCTTGGCCAATAATACTCCGATTCTTGAGAGGAATACCTTAAACGATTTGTGGATCGATTCTCCACAAATCTGCATCAAAATCTGGAAACAAATTATTTTTTAGATTTTTTTCCAAATTTTGTGGGCCATCCCCTTCAAAATGTGGAAAATGCATGGGGAGAAATATATGGCCCACTGCGAAGCGCGTATCTTGGCCAATAATACTCCGATTCTTGAGAGGAATACCTTAAACGATTTGTGGATCGATTCTCCATAAATCTGCATCAAAATCTGGAAACAAATTATTTTTTCGGTTTTTTTCCAAATTTTGTGGGCCATCCCCTTCAAAATGTGGAAAATGCATGGGGAGAAATATATGGCCCACTGCGAAGGGCATATCTTGGCCAATATTACTCCGATTCTTGAGAGGAATACCTTAAACGATTTGTGGATCGATTCTCCATAAATCTGCATCAAAATCTGGAAACAAATTATTTTTTAGATTTTTTTCCAAATTTTATGGGATGTCCCCTTCAAAATGTGGAAAATGCTTGGGTAGAAATATATGGCCCACTGCGAAGGGCATATCTTGGCCAATATTACTCCGATTCTTGAGAGGAATACCTTAAACGATTTGTGGATCGATTCTCCATAAATCTGCATCAAAATCTGGAAACAAATTATTTTTTCGATTTTTTTCCAAATTTTGTGGGCCATCCCCTTCAAAATGTGGAAAGTCCATGGGGAGGATAATGTGGTCCCCTGCGAAGGGCATATCTTGGTCAATATTACTCCGATTCTTGAGCGGAGTACCGAAAACGATTTGTGGATCGATTCTCCATAAATTTGCATCAAAATCTGGAAACAAATTATTTTTTCGATTTTTTTCAAAATTTTGTGGGCCATCCCCTTCAAAATGTGGAAAATGCATGGGGAGAAATATATGGCCCACTGCGAAGGGCATATCTTGGCCAATATTACTCCGATTCTTGAGAGGAATACCTTAAACTATTTGTGGATCGATTCTCCATAAATCTGCATCAAAATCTGGAAACAAATTATTTTTTAGATTTTTTTCCAAATTTTATGGGCCCTCCCCTTCAAAATGTGGAAAATGCTTGGGTAGAAATATATGGCCCACTGCGAAGGGCATATCTTGGCCAATATTACTCCGATTCTTGAGAGGAATACCTTAAACGATTTGTGGATCGATTCTCCATAAATCTGCATCAAAATCTGGAAACAAATTATTTTTTAGATTTTTTTCCAAATTTTATGGGCCCTCCCCTTCAAAATGTGGAAAATGCTTGGGTAGAAATATATGGCCCACTGCGAAGGGCATATATTGGCCAATATTACTCCGATTCTTGAGAGGAATACCTTAAACGATTTGTGGATCGATTCTCCACAAATCTGCATCAAAATCTGGAAACAAATTATTTTTTAGATTTTTTTCCAAATTTTGTGGGCCATCCCCTTCAAAATGTGGAAAATGCATGGGGAGAAATATATGGCCCACTGCGAAGCGCATATCTTGGCCAATATTTATCCGATTCCTGAGCGGAATACCTTAAACGATTTGTGGATCGATTCTCCTTAAATCTCTATCAAAATCTGGAAACAAATTATTTTTTAAATTTTTTTTCCAAATTTTGTGGGCCATCCCCTTCAAAATGTGGAAAATGCATGGGGAGAAATATATGGCCCACTGCGAAGGGCATATCTTGGCCAATATTTATCCGATTCCTAAGCCGAATCGATTTGTTGATAGATTCTCGTTTTATTTAAAATCCCCTCCTCTACTTGTGCTATTAAAAACTCTATTATTTTTTCTGGAATTCTTTAATAAGTTAACATTGGCTCAAATTACAAATTCTTGTACAATCAGGAAGCTGAGTTAACAAGTCAATAAATTCAGAGAGATTCTCCAACGAGAACGTTTCTGCAGATGAACGTTTTGTTTTGTACTATATAATGAAAAATATTCGAGATTACAAAAACCACTGAGAGACATAAGGATATTTGTTTGTTCGAGGGTGATTGGCTAACTAAGATATCAAAAGCTTTTTATGAATAAATTGTGCGCTCGATCCACTCCTCCAAGGTGAAGGTAGCCGTTTCGTTCTTCTCGGTGTCTCTCTCCTTGAAGATTTCTGTGAAATAATTTTATAATTTAATAATCAATACATTTTCAAAATTATAAAACATTCATATATTACCAATATATGTCTTGATTTTCACTGCACACATAATAAAGTCATCAAATGCAATTTTTCCATCTCGGGATCCATAACGATGTCCCAAGGCATTCAGGACGCGATTGTTCAGGTGATAGCCAGCTGAGTTCAGGGCTTCCCGAAGCTGAAATCCTGATATCCTTCCTGTGTTCTCCACATCATATATTTTGAAGATGGCCTTCCATTTGGCAATTTCAGCCAGCAGTACTTCAAACTCTTCGAATCCCAGTTTTCCAGATTTATCTGCGTCCAACATGGCCACCATGGAGCGGCAGACGTCCTTGGAGAAGCCATGTGTTTCATCAACGATGGCTAGATAGATGTTCCAATTTAGTCATATTTTGTATTAACAAGAAATCAAGATTGGAGACATACCACTTGGTGCACCTTGACCACCACCATCCGCAGGATTATCGCCTATTAGCCTCTTATTTGACTGGTCATTGGATGCCAGCTGGTCCTCGAACGGAGTACCCTTCAAAAATGGTCCGCAAATCAAGGACAACAGACCACAAGCTCCAGCACTATCGTCTCCCGGGCCACCAGCCTGAGTCTCAAAGGCATTATTTGGAGAGAAACGATTGAACACAACGGGTTTTGGCAGATCTGGAAAGACAGGCATAACATAGTTATAAGAACTATTTAGATAATATTTTAAATACTTACCATCCTTCATCGAGTGATCCAAGATGCGCTTCAACTCCATCCAATCGACCTCCTGGTCCTTGCCGGCAATGCTGTCGAATAGACGCCGCAGGCCCTCCTTCTGGGGATCCAAAGGCTTCGGTGTGGGGAAGCCTGGTGTAATCTTTAAAACCAAATCCTTAATTAAAGTTTCCATGGGCCATCATCTACTTACCGTGTCGGCCTGGCCGCCATAACCCACATGATCATCATTCTCTCTAAATGGGGAGTGAAAAGCGAAATGAGATGAATGTGCGAATCGGAAATAATCCATTCATATAGGGAACATGTATTGGATTTATATACACTACATAAAGGATTTTTTAAATGGCCTAATGATAGTTTAAAGCAAGTATTTTTAAATTATGTTTGGGATATGAACTAAGACCCGTAGTTTTCAAAGCATAATACGTTGTTGTGGGTGTTTCATTTATTGTTACTTTAATAAATAATATATTGTAGTTAGGTACATGAGAGAAATACAATAAAGACAAGGGTTTAAGTCCTCTTAAATGGTAAAACCAGAGCTAATTATTTTAATACTTTTCGTTTTAAGTTTTGATCTTTCATGGCAGACAGACGGACAAAGCTATCTATCCTGTTTTTTATAAGAATAATTATTTTAGACCCATTGGGAGTGTGTTAATCTCATCTCGTTTATATAAAAAATAAAAATATAATAATCAGCATGCAATTTTTTATATCAACTTTGGGGAATGTGTAGAGGTAGAGAACCGAAACAAACAAGTTGATTAGCTTAAACAGGGCTAGCACTAAGTAAGAATAGAAATATTATATAATCACATACCCACAAATTGCACTTTAGAAGCTTTTGTTTTTTTTTTTTTTAGTTAAAGAAACCCCGCGTATATATGTTGCAACCCGAATTATTTCTAATATTCAAACTCATTATTATTCTCTACGTACTCCATGTTGTTTTGGGTTTCGGAGAATACACGAATGATGAACTCTCCCTCCTCGTTCGGGTCGAAGGTGGAAGGCACAATCAGGTAGTGGCCAGGAGGCAATTTAAACCGGGCACATACCTACAGAGAAGTCACATTTTTCAATGGAAATGTCATTAAAAGATGGATATACACTTACTTCACGGGTGTTGATGAAGTGAGGCGATCGACCCACCGAGGACTTGTACCTGAAGAAGCTCAGACCCTGCGGACGGTTCTCCAGTTCCCGATCGGTCAGGCTGTAGATGGCGAAACCGATCGTAAGACACTCCATTCCCATGTTGCGTTTGGAACGCCTGTTTTTCTGCATCAGAGCCACAATCACGGTGCAGTGTCCCTCCTCATCCTCCTCGTCGGGATCCACCAGGGTGATTATATATTGGGGGTTATGCCAGAAAGTGTCCAGGAAGTTACGGCAGCCACCGGCCGTCACTCCGGGTGTCCACTCTCCCTCGTACATGGACATCTCCCACTTGCGTTTGCCGCTGTTCTGTTGGTCTTCAGTCAGAGAATCCGGTGACAAATTACAAATCTAAAAAAAGTCCGAGTTTTAAAAAAGTTTTTAAGAAAAAAAAGGAAGTAGTCTTACCTCCACACGATCAAAGTGGTTGAGAAAGTCTTGGAACGACATCCAGAACTCTCCATCTCTGTCAAAAGTAAGTCCGATTTCCGCCTTCTGATCCTCTGGGATGTAGCGCCACTCGGGGGAGCTATCGCTCCAAGGACCATTCCACTCGGCTTCATTTCCCCAAGGATTACGCATTCGAATCATAGGAATTTTTCCTTGGCGATTGGGGGTAACTATATCAATCATGCAGACCTAAAAAGAGCTATATTAATTTATGGTTCAAGGCTTAAAATATCAAAGTAACCTTGGTGATGGAGTAAGCATGACCACGAATCAAGCCCTGGGGAGTTTCAGCCTCCAGCACGTTTGGATCCGGTTCGATAGAGCAGCCCATCATGGAATTACGATCCGCGGCCTTTTGCAGGATGGTGAACAGGTTACCCGGAGCCTCCTTCAAGTCGTACCACTCGCTGACACCTCCAGTAAAGTCCTCCATAGCCTCGCAAGTGCTGCCGCCCTTAAGGGCCTCATAAGATCCATGGAGTCTGAAAAAGTGTCCATTTAATTATTTAAATTATTAAAATTTTTAAAAGAACATACTTGGCATAGGCCTTCTCCAAAAGGGCACTCCAGAATTCGTTCTTCTCCGTCGAATGCATGTACATCAGCTCCCCGTTGTAGGTGGGAAGACGGTCATCAATGATCACATCCACCCACTTACCATATTGCCAGAAACGGAAGTGAAAGATTCCGGCATAGTTCTCCTCGAAACTCTGCTCCGGGGGGATGACCCTGAAGAAAAGATTGGACTCCTGGGTCAAGTTAGCCGTGGCAGCCAGGAGCCAGCAATCGCCCAGCTCTCCCTGCTGGACATCGAAACGGGAGTAGCCCTCCACAAAGAACTGCGGATTGTCAGCAATTTCCTAAAGAATACACAATATTTTATAATAATTTTAAAGAAAAGATATTTCTGAAACTCACATGAGGTCTTAGCCATTCGATGTGACGATCTGGACGGCGAGAAAACATCAGAGATTCATTGGCAGCCGGGAACATGGGATCCTCGAAGAGTGATCCATTGGCTATGCAGCTGTTGAGGATGGTCTCGTAGTCCTGCACTTCGGAATAGGGTCCCAGGTTGGAGCTCTTTTCTCCCAGCTAAAAATGTATTTGGCGTTAAAGAATGTTTCAAAGAAAAATACAAAAAAAAATATATCCTGAAAGTATGTACATGTACAGAGGTACTTTATTAATATGGAAATTTGAAGCAAGGATGCATTTTACACTTTACACGCAACAACAAGGACAACAAGGACAACACATTACGACATCGTGGCAGCACATTATCCTCCAGAAGGAAAACCATGTCAATGCCATTAGGATGACTGGAGTCAGTACTTACGTTCCCATAGTACAACGTTTGAGATTTCAATGGCTGAGATTGCAATTGTTGCTAATGATAACGAACATTTGAGTGGAATGGATATATTTTTGTGGTTAACATGCATTGTATATGGTTTTGTCAATGGAAAGGTTACATATATAGGATGAATCTCACTACTAATCTCAGTGATTAGCTGGTCGTTACAACTTACTACTCTCATGTTTTTGATGCTGGGCAGGATGCGCTTGGTGTCGGCCTCCTTCTTGATGAAGATCTCGTTGATCACGGATCCGACCACATCCTTGGCAGCTCCCATTGCAGCTTCACCGGCGGCGTTGAGGAACTCCTGTCCCGCTTGCCTCAAGAATCCCTTCAGGTCATCCATCGTACAGGTATCTAAATTTAGAAAAAAGAACCACCGTCCGAGATTAAAAACCCATTTAGATACAATATTGGTATCTTGTTAGCAAAGTCCAAAATATTATATCGCCCATATTTACTTATTTGCCGCGTGAAGGAATTAAAAGCACACCCAGCTACTAAATGGGACTACGACTTATGGGCCCAACGGAGTGAGATAATATTCCCAACGTGACTGGGTTTTAATTAAATTACTTAAATTCACGCAAGGAGTAGCATTCGGTTTATTCAAACAGAAATTATACGTCGGGGACGAAGAATGTCTCACGGTTCGCACCCAAATATAATTCATTCGCATATGCTTAGATATATAAAATGTCGAAATCCATATTCGTATATATGCTACTCGGTGTGTGACATCATTCGGAAGCATGAAATTCTCAAGTGACTCAAAACAGAACCCAGAGATTACATCCAATATGCTTCCCCCCTTTTCCACAACGACCTTGACATTGAGCCCGGAATTGGTCATATACTGCGGATTGGATTTCCGCAGTAGCCGTAAATTGGCTTTTAATTGGAGCCCTAAATTCGCTATTTATTGTCACAGTACGATGCTCGGATCAGAGCCACATAGCATATAGAAGTATTGTCTATTCCACTGCGGAGTCCAAACAGGTTTAGTAATTAATGCATTCTTTAGGCCTGGCTCATTCCCGTGGCCAGCCAATCTTCCGACGGGACACAGCACAATCATGGTAATTTCCCCCCACAAGAAACAGATTATTCCCTATTTTATATGGACCTTGATTGGCCGAGAGAGCAATTTGAATCACGCACTTTCACTCCCCAAATCCGAAACAGTAACAGTCCAACGGAACGACGAGTACCTTCTCCAAAGCAAACAATCTCACAAATATTTATTTTTGTTCAGCCCTGCATTTGTATCTGAGATACGAGTCAGCTGACAGCCGGCACGGACTATCGTTTAAAAGTATCTGCAAGTTGGAACAATGGAATTTTAAATTTAAATTTAAATTTTAAGATTTTCATTGAGTTTATATTTTAAGTTTAGGTTTGATTTCATTTTATGATTTTAATTGAATTTCTAATTTTAGGGTAGATTTTCAAAATTTTCTTTTTCTTTAACAGAGCCTTAACAGAGACTTTGATCGAGTTGGCAGCACCGTACCGCCATCTTGCTCTTTCGCTGTTAAACAGTACTGGTTACACTCCGCCACTCTGCAACACTGTCATATTTTCGACCATCCGAACCGCACATCACGCGCATCGAATTTTCGTGTAATTCAGCATTTACTAATTGTAAGCAGCGGTTTTGTTTAATCCCCGGCCGAGTCAATTGGCGCCTAAATAAGTGACTATTAAAATCGAATAAATTATCTGAAAAAAAATAAACCGAGAGGACTCAGTGAAAGAGGACGCATCGATTTTTTCACGGCATTGCCGGTGACGGGACGCCGTCTATACACATACACACGAAATGTGTACATGTTGCGGCCCCTGTATTTGTATAAATAATATGACATAATCGACGTGTGCGGCTTAATTGACATAGTTTTTGTGCGATGAATACCTAAAAGTGCCAAGCAAGCTTCCAAAGAAGCGTATTTGTGGTCAGAGGGGCAGACAGGACTTGCACCGCTATTTTTTTTCCATCCGCTTTGCTCCAAATATTCGGTCTTCCCAACTCTCTCTCTCTCTATCTCACACACACCAACACCAATATTTGGGCGTTGCAGGATGGTGTCCCTCTCTCCCATAATTCTCCCAATAGCCAGACTACAATAAAAAATTAACCTATAAAATACGATTAGTAATAGCTTATTAAAAAAGATAGAAAAGATTTAGAAAAACTGCGGATTTGTTTTAATCATTTCCCCCAATAGCTGCACCCACTTGACGTTGCCTAACACTGCCCGCCCGCCTTCTGGTGCGGCTCTCCATTCGTCTCATCGGGCTGTTTCGGGCTTTCCTCGTCGAGTTGTCAAAGTGCGCTGTTCGTCGGACGATTCGTTTATATTCCCAGTTCGTATTTAATTTTAATACAAATATTTACAGTTAATTGCAATAGTGCGGTGCAATGAATAGTGCCTACGAGCGGCGCCATCTTTAAACTTTAAGATATATTTACCGTTAGGAGAGCATTTACCGTTATTTGATCAGTGCGGTGCAGTGCTTATTGTTTTGGGTTCAGGAAGAGCCCAATTTATACAAATTTTAACTCAGCCCCAATAAAAAGTTAAATTTATTAAATTCTCTCTCCCTCCCCCTCTTTGATATAGTCCCTGTGGCATATGTGTGTTTGTACGAATATATGAAATAGCAGCCGAAAAAGCAAAGTGCGAGAGCGAGGAAATATATTGAAAACGCGTGCGTTCCCCCTCTAACGAATAAGTGAGTGTGCCACCGTTGTATTTGTGACCCCGTGTGCCTGTGTCGAAGCAACTGGAGGATCCCAAGATATCAACAGAGGAGCAAGGATAAGCATACCGGTGAGACTTCCCATCGAAATATCCCCCCCCGCCCCCGAATTATTTAATTACGAGTTCGAAATCCCGCCGGACCGTGCAATAATTTTGTAGTGTTATGATGAGCGGTGACGCCATCTTTTGTGTGCTTCTCTAATAAGTGTTGTTTTTTTTTTTTTGGGTTTGGTCAAGCACACGCAACACCAGTGCCAGTGCCAGTGGCAGTGTGTGTGTGAGTGTGTGTCTATTTTGTTGTTATGCTTTGAGCTTGATGTTCTTCTACTCTCTTTCTTTCAGTCCCTCCACTCTCTTTTTGGGTGGGTGCGTGTGCTTTTCCTTTTCCAAATGAATCATGTATCTTTCTCACGGCTCCCTATAATTCTATGACTTTCTATGCGCTTGTCGGTTGTCAGATTATAGAAATACAAAATATACAGTTGCACGTCATGAGGCTTTCCGGTTCTCCCATCTTCCAGCTTTTATCAGCAATTTGTTTCCCTTGCGAAACGTGTGTCTAATGCACACTGGGCTGTCGCTAATAAATTGCATCTCTGATTTCTGCAGTTTGTAGCTCCGACAACGGTTGTGACCCACTTTTTCCCCACCAAGTCGGAGGCAAGTAAATAGCGAAAAGCAGCAGCAACAAGTGATAAACAGATTTGTAAATATTGGAAACTTGTTTGTGCGATTTGTCAGTTCAGCGACTGACTTGCGAAAGTGAGTTCTTTTTCGAGGGGTCTACCTGTACTGTCTACACAATCTTATCGGAAGGGTCTCTCTTGTTACGTTTCTTGTTAGATTGCCGTCTCAGATACAAGTACATTCTTGTAATAACAGCATTGGAAGGTTAAAGGATTTTATACAATTTTCTTGAATATTTCCCCTATTTTTGGTATTTTTTTTATATCTCAATCAAAAATTCCATTATGTATGCTTTTTAATCGCCTGATAAACTTTAGCTACCTTTTGTGTGCCACATGACGTCATTTCGTAGACACACACACATACCTAGCTTATATAAAAAGAAAACACAAAAAAAAAAAAAATGAAAATTTGCTCTTTTTGTTTGCTGGCTTTTGTTGCTAATTCGAATTTGCTCACAAACACACGTAAACCTGCGAATTCATTGCTTATGCTTCTTCTGCCTGCCTCCTCCATTCTCGCCCCTTATCACTCTTCCCGCGCTCCCATTCGCAAATTAGACCTGACGCGTTCGTTCATGTTTTCAATTGGTTTCATTTTTTTTTTCGGTTGCACCCTTCCAGCTGCATCGGGAGGTTTACATTTTATTTGTATCTGTAGATAGATATTGAAAAGGTTGATTCAGTTGTTTACTGCCTTCTTCCGTAATCCATAAAACAAAAAAAAATGTGACAAAAAAAGAGTGAGACTGTGTGTAGTTAGTATATTTTCACCTCGCTCTTTCATTCCAGCCGCAGGAAGTGCATAGTTAACTGTAAACAATTGTTGGGGAACCTACCTACACATAGCCTGGAAATGTTTGCATGGAAATGAGTCGGAAATTCGAATTTGTGACCCAACGAACGATGACACATAAACAATAACAGCAAGAAAGCAAACAACAGTGTATAGAAAGAGGAGAAATGGGAATCCAATGATAAGTAATGCACTTCAAGTAAAAGAAATGACTTTCCAGCTCTCAGTCAGGCGTGTCTCTCGCGACCCGACAATGATTTTTGATTGGAAATTGTTTACTGAAGCGTGCACCTCAGCTGCCGCTTATCTAATTTCCCACTGACGTCACTTCACCGGTGATTAATTGATTTCGAGAATCGTTGGTTGGAATTAAGCTGCATAATTGTGACGTTTGCTTTGATTAATGGAGCTTATCACTTTTAATGTCTCTCTGCAAAAGAGTCTGGCAACCCTGCAGCTTGCCACCAAAAACAAATTTGTCTAAAAGCGACTGGCGGCAGCAGCGCAGCCCCCAAAAGCCAAACAAAAAACGTAAAAAGTAAACTCAGACTTGCCCCAAAGCGTGGCGGGAATACGGGAATAAATAAAAGAGGCGTACGTGCCAAGCTTCAAAACAGGGACACACAAGCGAGATTAAAAAAAAAAAAAGAGGAGAAATAAAAAAGAGATGTTGCTGTTGGCTGGCTGCAGCTCATCAATAAAACAGCAGCAACAACAACAACAATAAACCAGAAACAGAGACAGCCAGAGAACCCAGAGGGGGAACGGGATGGAGCTTGATGAGAGGACGTTGGGAAGACAGGGCAGGCGAGAGACAAGCAATAACAAATGTACAGTTGCAGAAGCAGCATCAAGCAACAAAAACAACAACAAGCTGTTGCAACACAACATAAATCTTGAAAGAAAATAAGACAAGAAGATGAAGGTAGAGGAGAAGCTTTGGTAACCCTAGGTCTGAATTTTTAAGAGATTATTACTTTAGAGTATTACTTTGTCTATCCATCTTTGTAAAGAAATCTTCATTTAAAGTGCATCCACTGATGGTACATTGTTGTATCTTTTAAATGTCGAGATACAACCCGTAGAATGTGGATAATTATACCGAAAATGATGTTGGGGAAGCCAAGTCGGGGAAGAATGTCGACAATGTCTATAACGAATGGAGTTGTGAGGCTGCATTTCTTTCGCCGCTGCGCTTGAACTTCAATTGAACATCGGTCTGTTTCTGTCTCTTTCTCTCGGAAAGTGATTGAAAGCCCCGTAATTACGGTCCAATTCGACTGATCCAAAAATTTAAATTGGAATTTGGGCTAATTTCGTTCTCGCTGCGGTTGTGTGGGCGTGGGAAACGTCAACTACTCTCCGATTCCTCTTCCTCTTAAATTGCCAAATTAAAACAATTTGTTGTAATTAATGTAAATGGCATAGAATTAAATATAATTTGACCGACAAGTGGTTACTATTTAAATCCAATAGGTAGAATCTCTTGGCTCAGATGGTTAACCTACTTGGCTGGGCAATACAAAAAAATTCAGGTTTTCAAGAAACTCTTTCATTGTGGCATTACCGAACACGAGTGCAACCATGAGGCACTCATAAAAAGACCATCATCATTATGGTCATCATATAACAATAGAGCGAGAGTAGCTTAACGTGTTGCTGCATAAATGAATTCATAATGCAAAAAAAAATGTATATTTTTTTGTTAATAAAAAAAGAGAGGTGTTGTAGCACACGAAAGAGGCGGCTTACATAATCGCAGGCCCTAAATAGATTTGTAAATCAAAACCAGAAGCGCAGAAATTGCAATTCAAATTTTGAAAAACATTTAGAGCGCATTTATTGGGTAATTATGAAAAAGAAATTGTGCGTGGAAAGTATATAGAAGAAAAGTGTTTTACAATTTTAATTTAAACTCATAGTTGAAGAGTTAAAAATTAAATTATTTAATTAGACTTGCGTCGTATTAGGTCTATCTGTGTGTCTGGTATCTGGGCAGAGCGCAGTATAATATAACGACTAGTACTGAATACTTGAAAAGCCCGCTAACTAAAAATATTCGCGTGACATCATCGAACTGAGACGCCCGCGTCGGCGTCGACGTATCAGACAGCCTCAGCATCGGAATCGGCATCTCAATAAAATAACTCTCCTCTCTGGGTTGGAAAATGTGTTTTTGCTTTGAAAAGGGAAATTTTTTTTTTGAGAAAATTGCTCTTCTCTTTTTTTTTTCTCTCTATTTAAATATTTACTCTGCATACCAGACCATTGAACTCCCCTTTCCCCCACTTACCATTTAATGTTTAATAATGAAACGTTGTACTTTTATTTCATTACAGGCACATCATACAATAAAGTATTATAATCACGCAGAAAATACAATTTTAAGGTGAGTCTTGGATCGCTCTCTCAAACCCCAACACGCCCATCCATCAAGTGCCGTGCAAACAAATATAAATATTTCTTTACTTTTATTATCTGACGGCATGGTACATATTTGCATTTAATATTTGCAACGATCGGGGGGAGGGAGCTTTATTGGAGAGGCACTTGTTTGCTGAGGAGATGAGGAAACCACACCTTTTCAACTTTGAACTTTTATGCTTACGCCATACTTGAGCGAATAATTGTATTCCGGGTTGTGTTTGCCAAACTAATTGAGAACTAATCGAGGCCACGACCATCAAAGGTAGAGTAAGGCACTCAACCGGAGATTTTTGTCATCTGTTTTTTAAGCTATTTAATCGGCTGTTGTTTATTATGCATAATTTCATAATAAACTAAAGATGATATCATAGGGACTGTCTGGGTTGTCGATAGGTGTCATGTTATGGCTCTCACTTTTTGTTGAATCTTATCGGTGGATAGTGTGTTGTATCTGTTACATGCCACGCATAACTTCACCTCTAATTCAATTAAGCATGACCTTTGTTTTTTATTTTTTTCGCAATCCACATCTCTCTCGCCTTCAGTCTCCGCTTCAGTTGAAATTAAATTAAAAGCCACTTAAGCGTTGAGTCTGCTTGGCGCTCTGCTCTCCACTGATGTGGCTATATGTATGTGGTCATGTTATATATCTCTCTATATATGAGTGTAGTTCATAAATTCTGATTTACCCCCGTCGGCCATGGTAGACTGGATTTCAACAAACATTGAAGCTCTGGGCAATAAAAGGGAGCCATAAACGAAGTGACGGCCCAGAAATTCCACGACTTGTGAAGATTGGTTCGCATCGAGTTCATCTAGCACTTTCATAAATGGGTCATTGAACCACACAGCCACTCATGCAGACTCTGTTCCAACTTATGGAACCATCATCTATAAAGAGCGAGTCCATTACTTCCATCTCGTCCATCACAACCCTTCAATAACTAAACCGGAACTGCAGGACAATTAAAACCCAATTTAGTGCCGAAAACACATACATACTTGTATCAAGATCCAGTTACTGTTGCTAGGGACCATCGATTATCCTGCAACTTAAACTATTCTTAGACACGCACAGTGCCACACGTCGACTGTCGCGAGTCGGGGTCACCAGGGTTCATACCAACAACCACCCTCCTGCCTTCTAGATTCTGAAGGTACAAGTGAAAGCCCTCTCCCCCCCGCGTAGGAAATACCTGTCCTCTGACACGCCCAATATATTTGGTTGGTGACCGACGACCGACCGGCATTTTCATTACCATCGTGGGTTGCCAAGCCGGCGGCGCCATAAAATGACAGAATGGTGGCGCCACGGCGAGAGTATGCCGGCCGGAGAAATGTTTCCACGCGACTCGTAAAAATATCCTTGGAGTGGGTGGCTGGGGGTGGTTGTGTAGCTTGTGTTTATGTTTGCGTTTTGAGTTAATGACAGGAAGTGACGTCATTTGTAGCGAGGGATGAAGTTTTATTTCCTCGATTCCGAGTGATTGGAGTGGGAGGCATCAAGCTCCTGGGTGCGACAATGTCCTGGATGATGTCATACTCCACAAATATGATTATGTTATCCACTGGGCGGGGAATATCTTAATTTAGTTTAAAAATCCCATTTTATTGGAAAATGTTTTCTAATTAAAGATATTCCACCATTCATTGAATAAAATTTATGAATTATTTGGGAATAGACGTCACCCAATGGCCGGGCCAGATTTCAAGTTTATTTGGCAATTTTACAAAGCTATTTTTTATTTTTCCCTGGCCGTTGGCCAAGTGAGTCAAAGACACAGCCATATAAATATATATTTTGTTGGTCGCCACAGAAGATTACATCAAGGGCACAAAACACCACAAAAGCGATTGTTTATTTTGAGTCGCAAATCATTTTCCTTTCGTTCGGCGGACCACTTGTTGTTGTCACTTAACTTTAACAAAAAAGAATCAATTTTTATGCACTTGGTGGTCTGCCTCACAAACACAATGGGCGTTGGCGCCGCCAAGTGGCGTGGCTGGCCCGCTTTGATGAGATTTATGAGAAGATTTTGTAATTCAAGCCACGCGACTCACACGCGACTTTCGGTAGCAACCAGCAGCAGCAGCGCGGGTCCAGAAGAGAAGTAAAATGAAGCAAAAACCAGACACTCTGGCAGCTTGTTAGCAAAACAAACAAAATTAGCAGCATAGCCAGAGAGGTAGCAGACAGAAAAGCCTCACCGCTAGACGCGATGGTGGTACTGGTACTGCTACTGCTACCTTATTAAGACATTCCACACACGACCGAAGAGGCCCAAAAACGTAAAGAGAGACGACCTTAAAGAAAATATATTCAAAAAGCCAGAGTAGATTCATTTTTCATAACTTAATGGTTATTTAAAATTAAGAAAAAAGAAAGTAAAATGTTTCTAAATTAAAAAAAAATAAAAAATATAAAAAAGTTATTTTGACCTGTTTCCGCCCGGGATCGAACCGGGGGCCTTCTGCGTGTTAGGCAGATGTGATAACCGCTACACCACGGAAACAGCTGGAAGCAGGCCAGCCAAATGGTCAGTAGATTGTTCACTAGACTGAAAAGCAAAACAAAGCATAAGGGGAAAAAAGAAATTATAAGCTAAGTTAAAATTATTTTTAACCACACTAATTAATTATTTAGCTGATGCGTTAATTAATATTTTAGTTAAATTTAAAGCTATGTATGGCAAGCCTATTTGAATTTCTTCAGGGTACAAAGTTTGATTTAATTCCTCAAATTACTTTAACCATTTAAAATTAATAGGGTAAATATAAAATAAAAGTAAAGTAAAAAAAGAAATAAATAAAAATAAACATAAAATAAAGAAAAGTAAAAAAATTATACGACATGTTTCCGCCCGGGATCGAACCGGGGGCCTTCTGCGTGTTAGGCAGATGTGATAACCGCTACACCACGGAAACAGTTGAGGGGAGCGCAGCCAAAAGCCTAACAGTTTTCGGGTGACAATCGAAATAGGCAAAGGAAACTATTTTTAACAAAAAGGTTATTTTCATTAGTTATTTAATTTAAACGAGAACTAAAGTATAATATATTTATTCATGCCTCAGCTATTTTATCCTGCAGCAAGAGCCGAACAAACTAATCAAAAATTTCTTCATGAAGTTTTTCCGCATAGACAGTGTTAGCTAGATGTTAATATTAAAGGCTTATTTTATTTTTTTCTTAAAATATAAATAAATAAAAAAAATTAAAACTTAAATAAAATAAAAATTTTGAATAAGAAAAAAAATTCAACTTATCGCAGCCGGTAGGATTCGAACCTACGCTCCCAGAGGGAATCTGATTTCGAGTCAGACGCCTTAACCACTCGGCCACGACTGCTTGTGAATGAAGCCGGTCCAAAGTGAAATAAGGCAGCTAGCAGACTGAGGACCGACACCAGCAACCCTCTTGTTTGTTCTTAGGCTGATATTGAAAAAAATCGGGGCATGGTGTGGCGGGCGAGACACTCTACTCTGTGGGACTGGCAAACATTGCCAGTTTCCTCTGACCGTGTCTCGCAGATAAAATCGTATATATTTTCACGCCGTGCGAGTTGTCCAGTGATCCACAGCGTCGAACATATACAACAATATTTATTTAGATTTAAGGCCGGCTTTTTTACAGTTTTTCATTTTAAAGTTCTCTTTTCAAGGCGGTGACAGCTACAAATTATCATTATTTACACTTGACGGTCCAGGCTTTGGTTTATTGCACTCGTTTTTCTTGCTAGATGGATTTTAAGCCATATGGGACTTGATTTTTTTTACTTTGTTCATTTTTTGTGGTTTAAATGGTCGCTCCATATGATCATCATCGTCGTCAGATCTGGGCATGTGCCCCACTGACTGACTGACTGGATATGTGAGTGACTTGTTGCATTATTAATACTGAATGAAATCATTTTGTGACCGACCGACCTCTTACATCTCCCACTTGAGGCGATGGGACAGCTGTCGTCGGGGCTGTGCTCGATGGAGTGGAAGATTACGTAAGATTTCTTCCGTTGAGCGATAATTGAATACTTTGGAAATTTAATTAACGCCAGCATATGTGTGAAAGCTCTGTAGAGGGGGAGGTCAATTGCTCGAGTTGCTAATTTGGGTTTTTATAAAATATTATGTAGCTCTTATCAAGAACGAAACTTGTCTAGTTATCATGAAGTATCTATTCTATTAACCTCATGTTGCCAGCCTTGCCGTCGCTTGTTCTAGCCATAGTCTATAGTCTATGTTAGGTTCTGCCGGTTTTGGCGCCGGCACACTTTACCCCATTGAAAGACATGGGTGTGTCCGGGCCAAAAACAAGTGTGAGGTAATTGCATAATGTCAACAACAGCCAGAGGCGACGCTGTGGCGTTTGCTGCGCCTAAATCTAATTGTGGTCTTCCGCCCAGAAAGGCCACAGGAATAGAAAATGAAAATTTTATAAATATATAGAAGAGGGTTCTTTGCCATTACCAAAGTTCAATAAACCATCAAATATTCAGGCCTGTAATCAACTTTTTGGCTTGACACTGTTGTCTAAACTGGGCAACCAGTTTGGCTAAAAAAAATGCAGGTTTCTAGAATTTGTAGAGCTTGTAGAGCTTACGATGCGTGAGAAACCCAAAAAGATTTATTTTATTTTCTTTCAACAACCTACGCCTTTTTGGAACTCCCAACTCCATTTTGGAGGAGTCTCAGTCTGATTCAACCTACGCTGTGGAAACACTGTTTGTCTCGTTAAGTTTTTTATTCAAAAACACCCACGCACTCACTCCTCCGACTCGTCTGCATTTGTTGAGACTCCTTTTATTTTTCGTAGTCACTTAAAAAGCGTTTATTCAGCATTATTCTGTTTGATTTCAACCCAAAACCTATACAGACTTCCACCGTCGCCCACGCACCGCCATCTGATAGTTGTGAGAGTGTGGTGGCTGGCTGGTGTTTGTCAGCAAAGTTCAATTACCTGTAGTGTACTGCAAAAATATGCGGCACGCGTTGCTTCCCATACGTCATAATTAGCAACAGCAGCGAATTAGGCCTTTGGAGGTGCACTTTTGCTGGCAATTGTATTGTATACCCTTTCAGGGGGTATTCCTACTTCATATTCTTGATTAGGATCACATTCCGAGTTGGTATATGCTTGTCCGTGTGTCCGCGGACACCATTTTTCGGTCATAATTATTTAAATCTTAAAGGCATGTACTTCAAACTTGGCTCAAGTACAAAGGCCTTAACTTTAATGTTTCTGAAGATAGAATTTCTTTTAAAATCATATTCTACCATCGACCAACTATATCTGATATCTGCAAGGGTATATAAGCCTCGGCTTTGCTTATTAGCTCTTTTTTCTTGTTTTTCCCTTTTATTTAGCAAATAAGCCGACTACAAAAGCCACCGCACACCTCCCACCGCCCACCTTCCACCACCCCACCTCCTCTTTTAGTTTCTCATTGCAATTTCCTTTCCGAATTGGCATATTTATGTAGAAATTTGTGCTTTTAATTGGGAAGAAAGAAAGAGAACTAAAGAATTGCTTGCTTGCCTTGCCACTCAGTGGGTGTATGTGGAAGAAATCGGGGTCAGCATAATGCACATTAATTATGGTTTATGGCTGTTTCGAGTGTGTCATCTCTCGTAAGTGTAGAAATGCGAGTCTTAACAGTCTTTTTTGGGGTTTCAGTTACATTTTTGGCTGAGCCATGGAATTCTTTTTCGATTTGTTATCTCAGCCGCGACATAATTTTTATTGCAATTTCGATTCTGTTTACCAGAAATTGAAGGTTAATATTCGTGGTATCGAGAACACCACACCACGCCTATTTTTGTTTATTTATTTATCGAGTCTTTTGGCTTCTCTTGCGATCCAAATCGAAAGGCATTAATTTTTGGGGGTTTTTTTTCGTAAAAAGCCAAATGGATCTTAAAATAGTTTTCAGCGATTCCGTTTCGGTTGCTTTCTCTGCTGTCTCTTTGGCACGTGGGGGTTGGGGTGGTGGTTTTGGGGGAAAATATACAGTTGGGATGCAGTGGAAATGCGTTTTCCCCCTCGATTTGGGGGCTTTATTTTAGCCAAAATTAGAAATTAACTAAAGTATGCAGAGGGGCACTCTCTCCACCCCCTTCCACTGCTTCTCCACCTTTTTCCCTTTCCTCCCCTCCCGTCTTTGAAAAAAAAAAACAATTTTCTTTTGACATTCACAGTGAAGCCTGTCAGAGTTTGCCGCTCTCCGCTCTGAGTGGCTCTCTCTGTGAGAGTGTCTCGCCCTCAACGGCACTTGGGTGGTTGCATTGCATTCTCTTTTCCGCTCTCTTTCGCTCTCTTGCGCTCTCGAGTGTTGGGCTGTGCCACCCCCTTTTCTGTGCGCGCTGCCCTGCACTTTTTAAGGTCAGTCGAAAATTTTCCAGCTGAGCGTAAAGTTGAAGAAACTAAAACACTTTTCCTAAAACGGTTTTTTCTTCTTCCATTTTTGCAGCATTTTTAACAAAAAAAAAGGAATAAATCATGACTGAAGTCGAGCAACCGCCACAAAATGGCATAGATCCCACTGCCGGCGAGGAAGACGACAGCAGCAAAGCCCGTCCCGCGGATATTGAACAGGTAAGTAGTGCGTCTGCACCACCCAACCAACCAACCTTACCACACCACCAGTGGTAGCACCACCATTTCACCCCAAAAATATTATTTTTTTTGTTTTTCAGGATATGCGCGAAATGGAACGCCGCAAGCGTGTGGAGGCCATCATGGGCTCCAAACTCTTCCGCGAAGAACTGGAACGGATTGTGGACTCGGCCCGTGATGGCGGTTCCGGTGCCAGCGGCATCCTCCAGCAGCTATCGGACATTGTCGGTGTACCGGTGACACGGGTGGGCAGTGTCTTCAAGAGCAGCAGCTGCATGGTGCCCATTAACGATATACGCGGCGTTGAGTCCATGGGATACGCCAAGGGGGAGAAGATACTTCGGTGCAAGCTGGCCGCCACATTCCGTCTGCTCGATCTGTACGGCTGGACCCAAGGTCTGGGGGCACTCATCAGCGCCCGGCTAAAGGTCGACCAGGAGTACTTCCTGGTGAATCCCTACGGACTGCTTTATCACGAGATCACTGCCTCGGCGCTAAACAAGGTGGATATGCAGGGACAGATTGTAGAGCAGGGCACCACCAACTTCGGCGTCAACAAGAGTCGTGAGTGCTATACACCCCCCTCATCCATTTACTCCAATTCACAGGATATATTCTTGTTTTGCAGACTTTGTCCTCCACTCTGTGGTGCATGCTGCCCGTCCCGACATCCGGTGCGCCATTTACATCGGTGCCAGTCCTGTGGTGGCTATCTCATCGCTGAAATCCGGTCTTCTGCCGCTGACCAAGGACGCCTGTGTGCTGGGCGAGGTCACCACCCACGCCTACACTGGCCTGTTCGACGAGGAGGAACGCAATCGTCTGGTTCGCAGCCTCGGTCCCAACTCCAAGGTCATGCTCCTGGCCAACCACGGTGCCCTGTGCTGTGGCGAGACCATCGAGGAGGCCTTCTTTGCCGCCAGCCACATTGTCCAGGCCTGCGAGACGCAGCTGAAGCTGTTGCCGGTGGGTGTGGACAACCTGGTGCTGATTCCCGAGGAGTCGCGCAAGGCCATATACGAGCAGTCGCGCCGACCGCCAGAGGACCTGGAAAAGAAGTTCGCCGCCGTCACGGCCGGTGAGGATGGTGCCGCCACCGAGAAGGATGCCGGCGAAGCTGCAGTGCCCAAGATCGGCAGCCCGCCCAAGTGGCGTGTTGGTGGAGCTGACTTTGAGGCTCTGATGCGGATGCTGGACAATGCCGGCTACCGCACAGGCTACATCTACCGGCATCCGCTGATCAAATCCGACCCACCCAAGCCCAAAAACGACGTGGAACTGCCGCCTGCTGTTTCATCGCTGGGCTACCTCCTGGAGGAAGAGGACCTCATTCGTCAGGGGTAAAATACTAAACTATAACTATTATAGATCTTGTAATAATACCAATTATTCGTGTAGCATCTGGAAGAAGGGAGATCTGCGCAAGGGAGGAGACCGCAGCCGATGGCTCAACTCGCCGAATGTTTACCAAAAGGTCGAGGTGCTGGAGACCGGTACTCCGGATCCCAAGAAGATAACAAAGGTAGAGATCATAACATTTGAAGATAAGAAGCAAACCACTACCACCAGCCTTAAGGAGATTGAGGGAAAATAGTTGAAATAGTCCTCAACACTGTCCTCACACATTCCACTTGCTAATCCCATCTATAAGATTATTTCCACTTATGTAGTTAGCGCTCAGTTTCAGTTCGAACCCCAGCTACTAAAATGCTACTCGTATTAGTGATTAAGTAAACCCATATATTTATACAATTTTCAATATATATATAGATTTTGAAGTCATGCTAAACCTAAACCAAATTTATTTTATCTGCTTTGCGAGCAAGCAAATCAACACTGTAATGTGCATTAATCAAATAAATGTGTAAACGATTTAAAAAAACAAAAATAAACTTTAGTTTTGGATAGATGATTTTGTGCCTTCTTATAGGAAGTTTTTTTTTTAGGAAAACAATGCAAAGAAAGAGAAAGAAATTTGCCATTTTCCAATGTGCTAATCGCTACTCGACCACTCGAATGCATCTTGAATATTATTTATTTCATTTCTCATCTTGAAACTTATTATTTTTCATTCATGGACTTTTTCTTTGCATGTTTTTAATGGTTATTTTCTGTTAATTTCCTATCGTGATTGTTTTTTCATTGTTTTTTAAAGGCACAAAATCATTTATGCTTGTTATTTTTTAGTTTTTATGTTTATTTGATCATTGTCTTCAATAGATACTAAGTCAGTGTAATTATAAAGAAATAGCTTGCAATGGAATGCTAATTAATAACATCCTGTATAACCTTAAATATTAAGAATCTAAAAGAGAAGGTTAATTGTTTTAAAACCTCCTACCTTAATAAGAATATTGAAAAAAAAAAAAAACTAAACAAACCCCCACATTAAAAACAAATTTCTTTCTCTTTCTTTTTATATTTGCATTGCCCCCTCGATCCCTCATAATATCCCACAAACCCCATTATATAAACATAAAGTGGGTGGCTGAGGGTTCACCGACCCACTCAACGCCAGTGAGGATAGAAGATCCACTCCAGTTTGTGCCTGCCGGAACTAATACGAGAGAGTTCAAGCGGGTCCAGCAACAAGTCAGTATATAACTCCATTATCTCCCCAGAAAGTCACTAAAAAAGAGAGTCTTATTTTGGAAAAACAGATCAAGGACAATCGCCGGGCGGATAAGATCTCCGCAGGACCACAGTCGCACATCCTGGAGGGCGTCACATGGGACGAGGCCAGCCGACTGAAGGACGCGACGGTCTCCCAGGCCGGGGATCATGTGGTGATGATGGGTGCTGCCTCCAAGGGAATCATTCAGCGAGGATTCCAGCACAATGCCACTGTCTACAAGGCTCCGTATGCCAAAAATCCATTCGATAATGTTACGGACGATGAACTCAATGAGTATAAGCGTACGGTGGAACGCAAAAAGAAATCTATCCATGGTGAATGTAAGTTTTTCTTAAAAAAAATAATATATTTTTATGGAATCTAACAGATACATTTCATATTTTCCAGATACCGACACAGACTTTTCAGAATCGGAAGCTGTCCTGCAGGCGGGGGCAAAGAAATACCCTCAAAGCGAACCAGAGACAGGTATGAAGAGGTCAAAGCTTATATTAAAAGAATTTTAATATATTTCTCTATAATTTTAGAGCACCAAGTCATTGAGATCCAAACACAACAAGCGCCAGTACCACGACAGGCAGAAGTCGTTCTGAGCGATGGTAAGTCCGTCTATGTAAAGTGTTCGCCACTGTCCTTGGTTCTGTTTTAAATATTATTATTTTAAAATTATCACGCACACACACAACAATCCATTTATATTACCCATATCCAAGAGTTATGTCAATATGTCCTATATCCGATATTCAATCCAATGACATTGTTTTTTGTTAAATGATTTTGTTTTTTCCCATTTTGTCATCCCGTTTGATGCATTTTATCGTTTTTATTATCCTATTTCTAGTTATTATTAACCAAAGAGGTCTTGAAATTATTGCTATTACATTTTATTAAGTATTTATTGAGTAGTTTTATGAATCGAAATTATTTATTAGAAGTATTATTTGGTATAATTTGTTGATTCGATATCTAACATTTTTAATCCTTTTTTCGTTTATTTTATTTGCTGAAATTCCGCATTTATTTTTAAAAACAACACACATACGACCCGAACCCCGAACCAACTACACACATTTCTGAATCGAACTGTAGTCAATAAAAAGATACTTATAGCACTTGATACCGTTACGACATCCTTCTTGTAGAAGGACCTTCTCCAAAGCAATTTTTCAATTATAGTTTTCCCCCACATTCCCCGATTCATTTTTTTTTTTGAAAAATATTCAAATATTATCCTAAATCCTTTATCCTGAATACTTCCAAGGAACCAACTGTTGTACGGCGTGTATCAAATGATTTTTATTTACAACAAAATACAACAAACAGCACTACCAACAGACAACAACCATTGATTTTAGTAGAAAAGCTGCAGTTTCAGTTTATATATATTTTTGGTTTTATATTCCTGATTTTTTAGTTTCCCGAATCTGGCAAATTGTAAATCAAAATTTTTACCCACTTCTATTATATCGCTTAGGAAAAAAAACCCAAAACCAAATAAATTGGCAGCTAAATAATTAAATAAATGCACAAATAAAAGTAAAAGAATGGCTAGAATTTTAAAACGAAGTGTGTGTAGGTTCCTAATGAAATAAAATTAAAAAAAATAAATGTAAAATAAACAAAAAAAAAAAAAAACCAGCAACCAACAAGAAGAAGCAACCGAAGCTCCCAACAGAACACAAAATTCTACTCCTTCTACCACTACTACTACATACTACCTTTTCTACTACTACTACTACTACTACTACTGCGGCTGCTGCGCTCTAACAACAAACCTAAAAAATAAAAAATTATATAAAATAATAAGAAGTTTAAAAAAGAATACACTTTTGAGTTGGAGGTGAGTGCAGCCCCAAAGGTTTAGTGTGTAGTTAAAAAAAACATTTGAAAAAATAAAGAAAAAGATGAAAAATCATGATAATAGTTTATAGAACAGTTCAGCATAACATAAACATAAACATATACATTCTGCACACTAAACCCCATTCAAATGTCATTGCGGAATGCTAATTAGCTATTAGCCGTCTCACATAATCCGCTCTTAGCCAAGCAGCCTGCTGTTAACTCTATTTTTTTTTGGATTTATTCCACATCTTGTTATGATTTTTTGTAACTGCAGCTATTTTTTGTTGGTTGCTTCCTCAGTTGCCGCCTAGCCAGCCAGCTAAGCTATAGTTTCTAAAAACTAACCCCCGATCTATGTCTCTATCAAGCATGCTTTCTCAAAACTAAACCAAACTCATTACACACTTTAGGTCTGTTCCTAGCTTAAGGCACTGATTTATGTACTATATGTCTCGCGTTATCGCACCTCTGATGCTGAAATATGATTTTATAATTTCATTTCTCGATACTATTTTAGCCACTCTTAGTTTTATAAACGGCGAACGCTCTCACACAGCCACAAATCGCAAGCCGCCAACCGGCCGAGGTAAACAATATGACCCGATATGACCCTTCAATTTACTCAGGCTAAACGCCCCCAATGTATATATCTTAATCCTCGTTATTTGGTGTATTATAACCCCCATAGTGTAAAGATTCCATGGATATTTATATGCAAACCATATATACTATATAACCCCCTTATAACCCACAAAGACCATGGCCAAATGTTGTTGCACAAAGACTAAACCTTAGCTATATATTTTGGGTAACATTTAGGAATAACTTCATAAAAGATGGGTATCATTATCATTATGGATTCTAGGGAGTATGGTTAAGTCTTTCATCAATTTTCAGATAGATATTTAGAGAGTTACCACCTTGATACGAAAACCCAATGGATTCTTAATTTTCAGATATAATAGGTCTATGGAAACCATTTCCACTACGTATCGCCCTTATGTATGTATTTATTTCGAGAGCCGCACTACAGAATGATGCTGGCTCGGGACTTTCCTTAGATATTCCGACAAATACTTACTCATTGTTTCTTTGAATCCTCTTTCCATCCTCGATCCTAAGACAATGATGCCGAAGAGTCTCAGATAGATGAACAGGACAAGGAGAACCAGCATCGTGGCCGGCGTGGCAGCAGCAAGAGCCGCAAGGATCTGTTGCCGTTGCTGACCGAGGCCTCGAATATGCCGCAGGATCACTTGTATTCGTACGTGTATGGAGCGGCTGGATCCTGGGGCCAGTGCCTCCAACCGCAGGTGTGTTCGGCGTTGCTCCGGGCTCTGCACAGCGAGCAACTGGGTTACCTGGCCAGCTGTTATCAGGGCGGGGCAGGGACCTCGAATGCTGCCACTTCGAGCAGTGGCACCATAACCACCACGCACACCACTGCCACTGGATCGTCGGCAGCTTCGCGGCGTCCCCTGCGGCAAGCAAATCAAAACCAACAACCCCCTCCATATCGCACGGGATCCCACTTTGGATTCATGTCACCGCGCCAGTTGCCGCGCACCGAGCACAAGCACTTGCCATCGTCGGAGCGGGATCGGCAGGGCTATCGTCCCATGCAGCGGGCCATCAGCTACGAGGAGATCTTTGCCTCCCCGCGCTACGAGCACCTCTGCCAGTTCTGTTTCGAGCAGCTGCTGCGTCTCAAGCCCGAGCTGCAGAGGATTGGCGGAGGCACCGGTGCCAGCAGCTGTGAGGAAGACTTCACCAGCATCGAGAGCAGCAATGCCATGACACCGACACAGCTGCCCAAACAGCTGCCTCCGGTACCGGAGCTGGCCGACGACGACTATGATTACAGCGATATGCTCCAACGTCCGAGCATCCATCAGGATGCCAGTACCCAGACTGGGTGCCCGACCGCTAGTGCCTCCGCCACAAACTTCCTTAACCAAATCGAGCGTTTCAACTTCTCGGAGGAATCAACGAATGTGGGCTATATACCCAATCTGGTCAACAGCGAGATGAGCATCTTTGGTCTGGAGGCATCCAGTGCTGGAGCAAGTGCCACTAGTGCTGCTCCTCCGAGAATCTACCACCCGAATGGGGGTGACATCACCGAGGTTTGGGGCTTTGGGCGCTGGCAGGAAGCTCTGGGTGCCCAAATGATTCAAAGCGGCCACCAGCCGCTGACTGAGCACCGCCTGACTTTGGAGATCACCGAAAACTTTGAGACTCACCAGATGGACCTAGGTCCTGGAGCGGAGTCTCTTGAACGGCAACTGATGACGCGGGAAGAGCGGCAGCGTCGCAAGTTCGAGTTCGAGGAGTTGTGGCAGGATCATGTAGAATACTACACTGGCAAGGAGGAAATGCTGCAGGAGGAGGCTGCGGAAACTGTGGACTTCTTGGGGCACACAGTACAACTTTGCTTGGGCGGGAACAGGCAGAGGACTTATACCTTCCCAGCCCAGGACTGGAACCGTGATCAGGAATCGGAGGAAGAAAACGAGGAGCAGCCGGCAAAGGCTCCTCCCAACGATGATACACTGACCGATCCCACCGATGAGTTGCCCGGCATTCTGGAAAGCTTCGAAAAGAGCCTCACTGTAGCCGGCGAGAATCTGGAGAAGCTGGTGGCCACCACCAAGCAGTTACAGACCTTAAACGTCCAGACATCCAGCAGCTCCTTGGGGGATAGGCCTTTGGCGGATATTGGTAATCTTTTCCCCTCCAGTAGTTTGGAGAACATCCCGGAAGTCTCTGACCAGGCATCCGTATTGGAGGAGGAACTGGAAGAAGAATTCGCCGAACCGGCAAACCCCAGCATGAGCAGCAATGGGGATGAGTTTGGTGAAGAGATTACCCGAAGCCTGGACCCCGAGGAGGAGGAGAAGCGTGACGACGAAAAGCCCGTGTCTCCAGATACACCAGAGGTGGGGGAACCAAGTGCCAAGGAGAAGGAAGTGGCCGACGAAAAGGACATAGATGAAAATGAACTGAAGGAGCAGCAGGACTTGGATGGCCAGTTCCATGAGTTGGCTGGGGAAGTCGGCTTGTTTACTCCCTTGGAACGAGAGATTCTGCAGCGCATCGAGACCGATAGGCTGGACGATGCTGAGCCCATTTTTGGGAAGATAGACCACACCATCCGCAACAAGCTGACTCCGAAAAAGTTGCAGGACATGGTCAGCGAGGAGATCTTCCGCACGTGCACCTATGTCTACACCAGTTCTCCCGCCGCAATCATGCGGCCACCAGGAGACACTCCATCGACTCCCAGTGGCTCTTCGTTGTCGGCCCACAACATTAGCGCTCCTTGCAGCTCGACAGCCCATACTCACCTGGTCATACGGCCCACACCGAGAATGTCGCGGTCCTGGGCAGAGGTTGAAGACGGGGACCATCAGGATGGGAAGCCGCAGGTGCAGATGGATGAGGAGCAGGGTCTCCTGGAACGGGCCGTGTCCTCCACAACATTTGTCTGCCGGCCGAGTGCGCGCCGCAAGCGAAACTTCATCCAGGAGAACATTCGCAATGCCTGCCGACCGCGTGCGGCATCCGGATCAGTACAGAAGCCAAGGGGCAACGTGACCATTGGCGCCCTGTCTGCCCGCCCCAGTCCGACGACGGTTTGTGCCTTCCAGTGCGGCCAGCGGGATAGTGGCGCCCGTCTGTGGGTTTCCCTGCCCACTAGCCCATCTCGTTCTCGCTCCGGCACAAAGCGCGGCACCACTGCCAGTCCCACTCGGGCGTTGTACAACGTCCGACGAAGTCCCACTTCGCCCTATCCTAAGCGCCGCAAACCCTTGGTTCTGTTGCCGCCCTTGCGTGGCGCAGATCTGGCCAAGAAGCCGTCCAATGGCTTTGAGCCCAGTTCGTCCAGCTTATCCCTCCATGAATCGATGTTGACCAGCACTTTCTTTGTGCCAAGTAATGGACAAGCGGATGACCATCAAGCCTCCATCCACACCTTTCCCATCGAAGATCTGAATGAGGAGGAGCAGGAGGAACAGGATGAGAAAGTTGACCAAGATGAGCAAGAGGATCAGGAGGATCCTGCTAACAACAGTCAGGCCGATTCCTCGTCGGCGGTAGACAAGGCCAATGGCACAACTAGTACCATGTACTACAGTGCCAACAGCACCACGGAGGACGGAGAGCATTCACAGCCAAGCGAAGATGGGGAGGATCTTGAGGAGCTGGGTTTCCGGCTCATAAACAGTGAAGAAAATCCCGAAGGAGAAACCTTCTTGGAGGTGGCTACTTCTAACAGCGGTGAGGATGAAAATACCTCCCACAAGTCAGAGGAGGAGGCACAAATGGAGAAGAACTCCTTGCCCGAAAATGACATTGAATCGACCATAACGAACTTGTTCTCCGGGGAGTCTCAGATTCCATCGCAGTCTGAAAATAGCGAAGTAGAGAATTCCAGCGAGGCTATCGACAATGGGGAGACATCTACATCTCCACCAGAAGTCTCTGAAGAGCAAGGAATGACTGACGAAGAGCCAATATCTTCAGAAGATCAAGTAAATGGATTTGAACCTACACCTGAAACTAAGGAACTACTGGAGGATGAGCAATCACGTCTTGAAGGTGGATTCCAATCGAAAATGTCCAAGTCGTCAGGGTCATCTGATAAACCAGAGAACACCGATGCTGATGATGACTCGGTTCGCTCGAGCTTCTCCTTGAACAAGGCCCGTGAATTGAATCCGATACTATCCGAACACAGCTACCTCCTTGATGCTGTCAGCAGTGACGACGATAAGGCTGAAGAGAAGGTTATCAAGGTGACCAAGTCGGAAACAAATATGGCCAAGGGTGACGACCAACCGAGCACCTCTAAGGCATCTGACGAACGTAAGAGTGGTGGAGCAGAAGCCATCCCCAAGCCGCCGGCCTCTCCTTCATACTTCTCCATGGGCCAGGAGGATGAAGATGTAGTTGTCCTAGAAACCAAGTGCACCGTCGTGGGCCAGCAGATGTTTGTGCGGGAGGTGGGAGTGAAGGATGATGAGCAGGCTACCCAATCGAATGGTTGGATCAAGATCGAGGGAATGATGGGGGATGATGATGATTATGAGGGTCAAGAACCCCATTCAGGTAGCCAGGAGATAGATGAGGAGATAGAACCCACTGAAGAAGATTGAGGAACTTGCTAAATCATACATCAATTTTTTTTTTTCTTAAATATTCTTACATTTATATCATTAAATATTATCATATAGTTTTAAACACTGCTTGGCATGAATTCAGGTGTTATTTGACTTTATAATACTTTTTTTTTTTGGTTCTGTATGACATTCCTTATATACCATATTATTCACATTCATTTATTTGTTTTATATATTATATATTACTTTAAAAATTTATTCAAATTACTAACCAAAACTAGTATTTGGTGAAAGATGTATTTAAACTATGTTTTCAGGTTAAAATAAATTTAAATTATTAGTGGATTTAGATAGTAAGTTACTTTAGAATATCCCGATGTTGTATTTTTGTGAGCAGAGGTCCTCCAATGTTAAGTGTTTCTATGTCATCCTGATAGACCGTGAGTGATAGCTCCGACTTGTCCACAAAATATGTAAACATACTCACCATCTCACCACCACCACACACATTCCCGCCCTGCCCCTTTAATGATCACTTTCAGTGCAACTCTCATACCTGGCCCAGAAGTATGCCTTCCTGTACTCCCCTGGGCGCTACCTGGATGCCTGTACGCGCCAGGGGCCAATGGAACAGGAGGTGTTTGTGATACACAAAGTGGATACGGTGACCAAGCACAACTATCCGCCCCTCAATGGTCCTGTGGTGGATACTGTAGACATGTCCACGTCGGGAATAGACATCACTGGCGGTGGGAGGGTGGTCAGTAGCACTCCGATCAGATACCAACGGGCCACAGAATCGATGCCGGGACTCGAGACGAGCTTCTCCTCTGCTCCGCCGTACAGGAACAGCTCCCATTTCGGATTCATCTGCCCACTGACGACCGAGCCCAGTATTCCCCTTCATCCGGGCCACCAGTCAATCTGGAGGACAGTGGCCGAGCAGCGCGAAAAGGTCGTGTCCTTCATAAATCTTGCCACACTGAGTATGGAGAATCGCAAGTTGCTCAGTGTGATGTCGGCTGGCACGACACCACCCCGGTTCCAATCCCAATCGGAGCAGTCCCAGTCGGAATCCCAGAACCCGTCCTTTATCTCCGAGAAGCACATACAACTGGAGCCAAAGTCACCGAAGCGGAAGCTAAAGCAGCGGGAACTCAGCATGGTGTCCAGCAGTGGGCGCAGCTTGGACGAGTCCCTGGAGGAAATGGAGTCCATGCTAAGTGCCCTGACATTGAAGAATTCTTCGCGGAACATGGCAGTTCCATCGGATTCTGCCCTCTACCGTAGTTACACCTTCTTGCCCAACAACCACGACTTGCCCGAGGGCAGTGGCCAGACGAATAGGGACCGCCCGGAGGCCGAGCAGGAGCCGATGTTTGCCGACAGCGGCCTGGGTGATTCTTCGGGCAGGCGCCAGCGACTGGCCACCACCAGCAACGAGTCATCCACGCAGGAGGCCGAGGCCTACAGCTCGGGAAAGCATGTAAAGCTGACGCTCAGCAGCTCCCCCACCCTGACGTCCTCACCGTCGACCATCGAGATATTGATTAACGTAACGCTGCGGAATGCCGAGGGCGTGACCACCGAGGTGCCCAGCCACGAGCAGGAGTTCCGGGCCAAGCTGGAAAGAGTAATCGATGAAGAGATCAACTACATTGGGCAAAATCTGGCCTTTCAACGCCGCCGGGCGGAGTTGATTGAGGAGGGTCAGACCTCGACACGGGCTCCCCTTGCCACGCCCTCATCGTCGCCCCCCACATCCACGTCATCGGTGGTGCAGCGCAGCAACTCGGCACCGGCACTGTGCCACACCTACAGCTATGTGGCCCTACCCGAGGCCGATATGCTGAAGAAGCAGTCAGAGTCGCCGATGTCGCCGGAAGGGGAGCACCTGAAAATGCTGCTGGGCAGCTTGGAGAAGGAGCTGGAGCGTCTGCTGAACAGCGTGGTGAAGGCCTGGACGCTGCACAACAAGGCCATCATCCATGAGTGCCGGGCACGAATCTCCCAGATGAAGGAGGGATTCATCCACTCTTAGATGCCATTCTTTGAAAATTAATTAAAATTTTTTCAAGATTCCAGTTATTAACATAATTAGTGTTAAATATTTTTAAAGACGCGATTTTTTTTCTAATATAAGATGGAATATTTGATTAAGAAACCCCACCAAGGCTCGAATGAAACATAACCTTTGTAAACCTCAATTTTTTGTGAATTTGTTAAGATTTTTTTTTGTCAAATCTATAATTTTGTTTAACCTTTTTTTATAATTAAAATATACTGTATATCCACTTCATTATATTATCGCAAAACATTATTTTTTAAAGCACTTTTATGTAAAAAACAAATCAAGGTAATAATTTTACATTTCTCATATATGTTTGTGATCTGTGCATGTCTGCTTGCTTACTAATCTTAACTGCCGGTGATATGTTGCATGCCCCTTATACCCCGAACTCCATTTGTGTAATACATAATCGTACCACCCAGATACATTTAATACATATACATGTTTTAGTTAGATTCTAATTTGTGTTTGAATTTGTGCGTGTCTCTAAAAGAGGTGATAGATACAAAATTTAATAAATACACCCCCCATGTGAGCGTCCACTGAGTTAAATTTGTAGGAAAACTAAATTATTATATATAAGTGCAATAAACCTAACTAACAAGTATTCCCTTTCTAGGTGAAAACGTACAAAACGGTGACCATTCGGAGGCCCACTTGAGCACCTTCTCCCAGAGCAGTAAAGAGGTAAGTAGATCCAATGGAACTTCACAGCCGACCGACCCCCACTCATCATTATCATTGGAATATAACCACATTTTGCTGATTACTAACCCAAGCGCAAACGATATTCTCACTGCAAATTTCTATTACGGTTCCAGGATGTCTCCACGGACGGATCACCCAAGAAAGACAAGAAGAAGAAGAAGGGCCTGCGCACACCTTCGTTTTTGAAAAAGAAGAAGGAGAAGAAGAAGACCGAGGCCTAAGCTGGATAGTAGATGACAGAAGAAGGAGGACACCCTTCCATAAGGGGTAGCAGGCAGTTATTCTGATACCGAGGATGGGCACCACACGACAATGATACCACGATTAAAGCAAATATTAAAGCAGAGAAGAATTATTTAAGCGGACGATGGGGAAGGAGTGATTGTATGAAAGCATATACATATGTAGAGAGGCAACAAAGCAACAAATGAGCAGCTAGAATCGATTAGGAAGACGCAACTGAGAGGGGGATAACCCCTGGATTCGCATTCACCCGATATACCTATCTATTATAATATAATTCTAATTTTTAATTTATACAATGGCCCCAACAATTTGTATATGGAAAGCCGAGAGTTGTATCTCTCAGATTGACACGCAATATCCAACACATCGCTCTGTTCTATTCAAGAATCAAAGCAAGCAAAAAAACTCTTCTAGATGTATTAGCCTTAAAAAAAAGAAAGCTACGTAAACACATTACATAGTAAAACATACAAAAACAACAAGCAAACAAACAACAACAACAAACTGATCAGACGTAAAGGATATACATATGTATATCCCCCAGATAACTATGTGCTACACTGACAAAATATTAAAAACAAACTCTTGTCTTTAGTGGACATTATTTCGTGGTACCTACATGCGTATGTACACGTATTAAATAATACTTAAATGCAATATTTTTTATAAATCCAATAAAATCGATGACAAAAAATAAAAACAAAACGAAATTGATATTCTTTGCATGTGTGTGTGTTTGTCAAATTGCTTTTTAACGGTCTTGTTCCGGTTTTCATTTTCAAAAATGCATTTTTCGAAAACAACTGGAACAGGGTTGTATGTTTTGTGTTTTTAATTGTTTTGTTTTTACAAATTCCGACAAGAAACAGGCACACCTTGCACATAAAAACGATTTAATAAAATATGTATACTTGCAGAAATTGTATTAGTTTTTTTTAAAAAATGAATAATTATATATTTTTATGTACGTAAAACTGTTTATACATACATATACATATATATATATATATATTTATAAAAACCCAATAAATTATGATACAAATTCAAATCCAAAACAACACAAACACGTATAAGCATATTATGCGATTAATGAGAGGAAAGCAGAAACACATCCACAGATAAGACGATGGAATATATAGTATTTCGCAATATTTAAATTTCAGCATTTCTTTTGTAAGTAGATGTGCTTGATTTTTAATCGCTATAACATTAAACATATTTGAATGAACGATAACGAACACTGCAAGATACAAACATATATGACTGCCATAGCATGTAAAATTTTAAGGCACAACTTAATCGCATTTAAATTTCAAATTAACCTCATTAAACTAAAAATCCTTCAAATCATTAAAGCCACTTAAATCAAATGTTTCTGCTTTTCCCGCCACCCACAATCCCACACCAACTTATACAAAACTCTGTAATACATGCATTGATGAGCCTTAAAAAAAATATAATAAAAAATACGTCAAACAATTACGATAATTATATAAAAATTAAAATTAAACTGATTATTTGCGCAACGACAGAAGCTTATTTCTAACAACATTTTTGCGTCATCAAAGCAAAAAGTTTGTATAATTTTGTCCTTAGATTAACCTTAGAAATTTGTCAATATTCTCATTCTCTGTGCAAATAATAAAAAACGAAAATCTTTTGAAAAGCAAACGAAAAGCCGAAAAGTTGTTTCTTGAACTTCGTTTAGATTGTAAGTCAAACGCATATAAATATATATATATTTAAATTGGTATTATAAAAATTATACACGACACACGAAGGAAAAAACGCAGAATTAATAAACACTTGGAAATTGTACAAAATCATTGATATGTTTATTTAAAAAATGGATTTTTTTTAAATTCAAATCTTTATAGCTGGTTGGACCTGTTGTTTTGCATAAATTTTCGCTAGATGGCAACCCTGAACATCTGTTCTCCATTTCTTTGTTTCATTTATTATTTTGTGACTCAGTCCCGTATAAAATCAGTGATAAAACCTTCAGTATTGAAACAAAATTTAGTCATTTTCTGGAAACAAACGTGCCAACATGTCTCTTGTAACTGATGAGGAGTGGGCCGAGTATAAGGTTTGCAAATTAAGATAAGTCTATTTGCATTTTGCTCTACGACGCAATAATGTTTGCAGGCAAAGTTCAACAAGAACTATGAGGCTGAGGAGGACCTTAATCGCCGTGGATTATACGAAAAGGCTAAAGCTAGAATCGAGGAACACAATCGTAGATTCGAAAAGGGAGAGGTGACATTTAAAATGGCAATCAATCATTTGGCTGACCTCACACCTGAGGAGTTTGGTCAACGTTGTGGAAAATAAGCAATCTCATCCAGAGAATCTCAAATAATGTATTTCGTAAAGTCAAAGTAATCGTTCTCTCTTATTTTAATTATAAATATGCATTTAAAAACAAAAAGTTTTGTACCCACCCACAAAAATAAACAATAAATCAGCTGTTGTGGATAAGAAAGTGATTGTAGTCTTTGTTCAATCTGGGCACACCTTCAAGGTAAACAGTTCAGGTTCATTGAATCATTTCCCAGTTCCTTAACCCTCAAGTGCCCAAGATCGTTTATAAGCTTATTTAAGCTTTCTCTTTTTTATAAATTTTCCAATGCAAAAGCGAGTTTGAATTATATTTATTCCGATAGCCCTATGTTGTGTTACTTTGCTGTGCTTTTTACTTATTTACTTAAACTTATTTTTAAAATTGTATATCGATATGAATTAATTTACATAAATAATAAAGCCTGTAATAGTTTTCTTAGTTTTTTATACTTTTTAGTTGAAAATTTATCTTTTTAAAATAAAGTATTATAGCTTGTCCTAATGTGATCGGGCGAACTAGTTTTGACACACCGCTCCGCTCACGAGCTGAACCGCAGACCGACGAGCGGCCGTTCACAGACAACATTTGAAAAATTGTAAACTTTTCCTTTCGATCACATAGACACCGACACAAATAGTTATTATTTTATACATTCACCCCTTTTTTTAAATACACGCGTAACCAAAATCTGCATCATTTCTTGCAGAAACCGCAGCAGAAACACCGCCAACCCTAGCCGTCAGTCACAATGTCCGGAATCATGCGTGTGCCATCGATTTTGGCCAAAAATGCAGTCGCCTCCATGGTAGGTACAGCCGGGAAAAACATCGTCTCCACATCTTGTCCTCTAGTCGTTCGATTGGTGATTATACAACCGGCAGCAGAGGGTCTGTTGAGACTTATTTGGCGAAAACAAACTACCTCAGAAATTGGCCAAAACACTGACGCCTGCACTCGTGTTATGTAATTTGCTCAGGCTGTGTTGGCCAGGTGATTTTTGGTGGCCCCCTTTTGACGTGTGCCTGACGAGGGAGTTAGTAACTCCGTCATCCATGCATTGTGTCTACTTTTAAGGATTTCGATGCCCAAAAAAAGTTGGTGCACCTGCGACCGAAGAGGTTATGTTATGCTGATGCCTCGCCCCCGCCACCGCTGCCCATTTGCGGGTTCGTGCCACTGGATGTGCGTGCCACAAATTCAAGATCATTAATTGCAATTGCATTTAAGTGGAGGGCGGCTTTCGGCCCGGAGACACGCCTTGATAAGCGCAACAAGTTCCGCTCAAGCGGGGCACTACTATACGGCCACTGCCACCACGAGAGCGGAGGCGAGCGGGAGAGAGAGATTGGGAGGCACGTCGGCCAGCTAACAACTAACAGCTGATTATACAATTGAGCTGACCACTCCTCCTTCCTTTGCCCCTTTTTTTTGGGAGAGTAGCTACAATTATTTAATTTGTTTATTACATAAGCTGTCTTATCTCTTCATGGAGGAGAAGCTTCTGCAAGTCGCTCTTATTGTCTGTCTTCTAGCAGTTCTCATTGTCTACGTCATCCGATGTACTCTTCTAGTTCTTCTCACTAAATCTTAAACCCTTGTGTTAACTAAGGGGGTGGCTAAATGGAACTAATACTACTCTGTATTGTTTCCTTTGGTATGGGGTGATAAGATAACTGCCATGAGCTTCTCCAGATAGCATTAATAACCAAAATAAGTCCACTAAAATCCTCCATTTGTGTATTACATAAAACAACTATTTTTTTAAACTTTCTCCAATATTTTCTTAATAAATTCTCACTATCGGATGGGGCGGGAACCTCCTAAATAACCCGCCACAGCCAGTTTTACGTAATTATTGTCACAAATACTTGTGAATTATGGCGGCATGACAAGCAAAAACAACGATTTTGATGACTTTATTGGCAAGCCAGGCTCTCGAGTGACTATATAGTCACTACATTATAAAAAATAACCCCAACGGGTGGGCTATTAAGATAATCACATCCAACTATTGCTAATTTCTGTTTACTTTCCATGTCTATTACAGCAACGCGCTGCTGCCATCGGAGCGCAGCGCAGCTACCACATCACACATGGCCGTCAGCAGGCATCAGCCGCCAATCCCGACAAGATTTCGAAACAGTACCCCGTGGTGGATCATGCCTATGATGCCATTGTTGTGGGTGCTGGTGGAGCTGGACTGCGCGCTGCCTTCGGCCTGGTGGCCGAGGGATTCCGCACTGCGGTGATCACCAAGCTGTTTCCCACGAGATCGCACACCATCGCCGCCCAGGGCGGTATCAATGCGGCGCTGGGAAACATGGAGGAGGATGACTGGAAGTGGCATATGTACGACACGGTTAAGGGATCCGATTGGTTGGGCGACCAGGACGCTATTCACTACATGACACGCGAGGCACCCAAGGCTGTCATCGAACTGGAGAACTACGGAATGCCCTTTTCCCGCACCCAAGACGGCAAGATCTACCAGCGTGCGTTCGGCGGCCAGAGCTTGAAGTTCGGCAAGGGCGGCCAGGCCCATCGATGCTGTGCGGTGGCCGATCGTACCGGTCACTCCCTGCTGCATACTCTCTACGGTCAGTCCCTCAGCTACGACTGCAACTACTTTGTGGAGTACTTCGCCCTGGATCTGATCTTTGAGGAGGGCGAGTGCCGTGGAGTGCTGGCTCTTAATCTGGAGGATGGCTCGCTGCACCGATTCCGCGCCAAGAACACCGTCGTTGCCACTGGTGGTTACGGTCGCGCCTTCTTCTCCTGCACCTCGGCGCACACTTGTACTGGCGACGGTACCGCCATGGTTGCCCGCCAGGGTCTGCCCTCCCAGGATCTGGAGTTCGTGCAGTTCCACCCGACTGGAATCTACGGCGCCGGCTGTCTCATCACTGAGGGCTGCCGTGGAGAGGGTGGCTACCTCATCAACGGTAACGGCGAGCGCTTCATGGAGCGCTATGCCCCGGTGGCCAAGGATCTTGCCTCTCGTGACGTCGTCTCCCGTTCCATGACCATTGAAATCATGGAGGGCCGTGGCGTTGGACCCGAAAAGGACCACGTGTTCCTGCAGCTGCACCATCTGCCTCCCAAGCAGCTGGCTGAGCGTTTGCCTGGTATCTCGGAGACTGCAATGATCTTTGCCGGCGTGGACGTGACCCGCGAGCCAATTCCTGTCCTGCCAACAGTGCACTACAACATGGGTGGTATTCCGACCAACTACCGCGGCCAGGTCATCACCATCGACAAGGAGGGCAAGGATGTGATCGTACCGGGACTGTATGCTGCCGGTGAGTCCGCCTCCAGCTCCGTGCACGGTGCTAACCGTTTGGGAGCTAACTCTCTGCTGGATCTGGTGGTGTTCGGACGTGCCTGTGCCAAGACTATCGCCGAGGAGAATAAGCCGGGTGTTCCAGCGCCCACGCTGAAGGACAACGCCGGTGAGGCCTCGGTGGCCAATCTGGACAAGCTCCGTCACGCCAACGGAAGCATCACCACCGCCGATCTGCGCCTGAAGATGCAGAGGACCATGCAGCATCATGCCGCTGTGTTCCGCGATGGTCCCATCCTGAAGGAGGGTGTCAGCAAGATGCAGGAAATCTACAAGCAATTCAAGGACATCAAGGTCATCGACAAGTGAGTAATACTATCTAAAGATAATAGGAGTTTACTAAATACTGCTTCGATTAGGTCGCTTATTTGGAACTCGGACCTGGTGGAAACCCTGGAGCTGCAAAACTTGCTGGCCAATGCCCAGATGACTATTGTGGGTGCTGAGGCACGCAAGGAGTCGCGTGGTGCTCACGCTCGTGAGGACTTCAAGACACGCGAGGATGAATATGTAAGTTTAATTATAGAAAATTTTTAAATAATATTAAATTATAATATTTTTAATACAGGATTACAGCAAACCGATTGAGGGACAGACACCGAAACCCATGGACAAGCACTGGCGCAAGCACACACTTTCCTGGGTCTGCAACGACAACGGCGACATTTCGTTGGACTATAGACCTGTTATCGACTCGACGTTGGACCAGGAGGTGTCGACGGTGCCGCCGGCAATCCGCTCCTATTAAGACTAGACTTGGAGTTGCAGAACACCCGCATCCACATTCATAAAACACAGAATCCACCACTACAAATCACACTCACGGATGTCTACTTAATTGATTTCTGGGGACACAACCAGTCAAATTTTTTTATGTCGCCACAGTGTACTCGATGCTCCCAACCCCAGGGTAATCGGCAGCAGATTCTGGCGCGAATAATTAAACCAGCTATTAACATCCTATATACATATATACTTTATATACCCTACCTATTCAGCTGTTTCTATTTATTTTTTTGTATTGCTGCCCTCCACTTGGCTACTTTTCGGTTGTCTATAAATTACATTTAAATAAGCGAAAAATGTGTGTGAGAGATTTGAGGCGATTTTGACGATGGAGTCTGTTAAACAAGTAAACGAAAACAAATCCAACAATTTTCTAGTATTTGTTAAACTTATTAAATTATTAAAAACGAAAAACATGTATAAAAAAAACAATAAAAAATAACAAAAGTCGAAGTCATTTGCTACATAGAGTAAATAAAACTGAAGAAGATTGCATAAAAAATGGTCGAGTCCTCTTGTTAGCCGCGGAATACATGGATCTGGTTGGGTTTCACATTCAGCTGGGCTAGAATATCCTCAGCAGCTGTGTTAAAGCCACTTGGTCCACATATCGCCACATAAGTACATCGGTCGGGCTGCTTCTCCTTGAACAAGGGAGCCAAGAGCTCGGTGGTGATTCGTTGAGGTTGATCCTCGTCTTGCGAAAGGAAGTGTTGGCAACTGAATCTCTCGTCCTGCGAGTGAAGATCCTCAAGTTTCTCTCTCAACCAAATGTCCTCCTTGGTTTTGTTGAAATAAAACAAATGCAGGCTTTCGCTAGAAGATTATTTAACTTTTAGTTTAAAAATCACAAAAAAATTCAATTAAAACTCACATGCGATTCGTATTCCTTTTCAGAATTGGCTGAATGAGGCTTAAAATAGGCGTTAGACCACTGCCAGCTGCCAAGAGTAGAATGTTTCGATGACCAGTGAGCTCGGAGAGCTGGAAACACCCTCGAGGGGGAGTAAGCTGGACTCGAGAGCCCACTTGCAACTTGTGCAAGTGACTAGACATGGGTCCATTTAGGTAGCGTTTGATTAAAAAGTGTAAGCCCTGAGATGGGTTTGTTTCAAGGGCCAGGAGCGAGCTATCCACAGGTGTATAGCTTCTTTGTACTACTTCTCCGTCCAAAGGTGCCTCCAGAGATACATGGAATCCCACTGGAAGGACCATTAGCATTTCCCGCTGAACACTTTGAAGGCTCAGTTCGAAGGAATCATGATTGAGTTCTTTAGTGTTAGTGACTTCATATTCATAGGATTCCTCCTCCATGGTTGGGGAGTCCAGCTTGCTGGATGTGTGACTGCCATATGTGGTCCATGGAGCTGATTCTTCTTTTCCTAAAACTATCTCTATTTTCCCCGTTTCCGCGCCAATTTTCACAGCTTTAGGAGGCCACTCCACCTTGTTTGTGAGCTGAAAGTCAAAAACATGCCATTTTTGTTCCACCAGAATCCGCACCACTAGCTCTTGGGTAGCTTTTCTCCGCAGCAACAATCCAGGATTGGCAAAGCTTCTGGTGTAGAAGATTAGGGTTAGATCGCTACTTTTCTGAATCCAATCGAATCGGGGAACAATCTCTGTGGGTTTTGTGATTGGAGATGGCAATGAAAAATTATCGGTATCCTTGGAGACTTTCATAGGATTCTCCTTTAGTGGCCCTATGTAGCATTTCCCCAGCAGCTGCGGATAGTTGACCCAGGCGTGCACCTCGTCGAATAGCTTGGTGGCATCGCGACCAACACCACGCATTAGCTCGTCTACACCACCAGGATGAAAGTCCATGTACCGGGTGACATTGAACACCCGACCGCGTATAGCCATCCAGGCATCGTTGACCTTGTTGTGCAGGGCCAGTTCAGTCTTCGTTACGGGTACAACACGTCCGCCAGTGCCAGAGAGATCGGCTCCAGAATTGCACAACCGAATCCAGTTCATAAGCGAGTAGCCCGGCTTCAGGGCACACTTGTTGCGAGGATTTCCGGTGGCGGATCCAGAAGCGGAGGAGGAGGCGCTGGTATTTAACTTCTGCTGAGCTGTTTGGGGAAGCTGAAGTCCGCCAGAGGAGGCGAGTGCAGTTACCTGTGGCGGTCGGAGTGGTGCATTGCTGGTAGGTGGCTTTAGTGATGAATCGGACATGGCGGGATATGTTTTTACTAAACCAACAATATGGTTGGTACAATATGTAAACAAACGAAAAGAAATGATTCTTTAATCAGCTGTTTTGAATACGAACTAGTTCCATGGCCTGGAACAAAATACCAAAACAATTGGCGGTAAAAAAAATGAGGTATTTAATTTTTAAAAATGAAGTTTATTTTTGGTATTTTAATGAAAAGTTTAGAAAATATATTGGTGATAATCCGCTGGCCATTGGACTGGAGCCGTGAAGTTGGGCAATGATTTTAGAAAAGCTTGCGCCTCTGCATCTCCGGCAGAATTCATAAACTGTCGCCCAACTCCTACAATAACTGAGGGCATCGCATAATCAAAATCAGGTTTCTGGAACAAAATAGGAATTAAAATAATATAAATTTAAAAAATATGCAAGATTGTCTTACCGTTAACTCAATGGTGATGTCAATGTACTCGACCTTCAATCCATATGAGTAGAAAACAATGTATGGCGGAGTAACGTCCCTGAAGCTATCTAATAATGACCAGCTGGTAATGGTAACATCTGTCAGGGGCTGAATGACTAAGGTAGAATGATCCGTGACGAAGATTCTGAACACCAGTCGCAGGGTTTTGCCATCATCCACAATAGTTCGGTTCAACAGCACCAGTGGTGGAGTGGAAATGGTTTCAATGGGGTTATCTCGAGGTATCCAAGTCAGGTTCTGGTAAAATTTCCAATAGCGCCAATCGCAAATCGGCATTCCGCAAGCAGGATAATTGCTGCAGTCAGAGGACAGACTGGTCAGTTTGCTGAGAACCACACCAGCTTTTATGAGGGGACTACTGCCACGGCGATCCTGGAAGCTCATCAGGTATCCAGACTCGTTCTTGCTGACTGTGCCATCGAACTCGTAGAATACACGGTGCACTTGCTGAATAAGGTGGTCGTCAATCAGTTGTCTGTTATATAAATGAATATAGTTGTAATATATATACTTACCAAGTAATAAAGACGTTGGACATTAGTTTTGGGTCGGTAAGGGAAACCAATCTCCGTGGAACTGGCCACGTAAATAGTAGCCGCACTAATGGCTACCAAAGCCACCAAAATAATGCCAGAGCGACGGGACATGTTAATGAGTACGATCTATAAATGGGAATTTAAATATTTAAGAAACTTCAAGTCTTAATAGGAATGATTAAACCTACCAAGAAGCCCATGGATAGAACAGTACCCAGAGCAGCCAAGGCCGAAATAATCAGATCGGGGTTGGTGTTCCTAAAAAAACAAAAAAAAGTTTAGACCTAAATAAAACATAGTTCATTTAAAACTTACTGTCCAAAGCGTCCCATCATTGGTGTGAGGATAACAATCAGAATATAGAACAGATAGCTGTTGTACATGAAAGGAATCACTTGGAACACCTTCAGAACAAAAGTCCACGACCAGCCGCGATCATGCAAAGTGCTGATCAAGTTCAGGACCAAGGGAACGTCGTAGAAAATCAGAGTCCAGGTGAAGACATAGGTGGTTCGGAGTCCATAATAGTTCAGGGCAATGCTCAGGATCGACAGGACAACGGCATGACCATGGAGAGCCATTTGTAGTTGTTGGACATAGGTGAGGTTCTCCTGTTTATAATACAATTAGATCTTAAAATGATATCCTCTATATGTCCAGGATACTTACATTCTTTTGCAGCTTGAGGTAAATGACACTGGGCAGAGCCAATCCCACCAGGCAGGGGCATACATAGAGACCCAGGGACAAGATCGGAGTGCTGTAGTATGTCAGAGTAAGTCCGTACTTGTCAAACACGTAAGCCACAATTATGGGAAGACCCACGCCCAGAACTAAGGCAACAACCTGAACGACAAAGATCAGGACGAACCAAGTGATCACATGTTCAGAGGTGGTTTTGGCAACAGATGCAATCCGCAGCAGGGAAAGATACACCAGGACAATGGTCACGGCAGCCACGGCGTAGTTTAGTTTTACGGCAACGGTGTTCGAGTAGGAGATCATGAAGAGACCCAGGAAGTCAAAGAACACAGCGGTTCCAGTCTCCTATAGAAGAGAGTGGGTTATGACAATTTCCTCAAAAGTTTTCCAATTATTTCTAAGTACTTACACTACTTTCCGTCCAATCCTGAGTGGCCAGACCGACAACTAAAGCCAAAGCATTTTCACCAGTACTTTGAATAGAACCCCGAGGGATAATATCATAACGATCGTACTTTGTGTGATATATATAGCCATTTACGCATTGTCCAATATCATAACCTGTTTAAAATAGTAAAAACATTAAAGATAATCTTGAAGACTTTCAGTTTTAATTAACTTACCAACTAGATCTTTTTTGACGGCTGTGAAAATGGAGAAATCCGTATCTGAGGGGACTAAGCCTGTCTGGTAAATTTCCTCGGCCAAGGCAGTGGCAAATGGACGGGGCACGAATTTCTTATACAACTGTGAATTATATCGTAATATTTAATAAAAAATATATCCATCTGATAGGTTAACTTACCTGAGCCAACTTTGGGTCTGTTGGTCCGGATTGGAAAAGAATTTCCTTACTACCACTACCGGCAGCGTCCATATTAACGAGGACCCTAAAAAATAATGAAATTATCATTATTTATAGTTAATATTTTAAATATAAATTTTAGATCTTACGCGCAGTTATCCGCCCATTCGTGTTGGCTGATGAAACAATGAGATCCCAATAACGTATTCTCCTCGGCTCCGTTGAATAAAAATATGATTGTGGTCGTTAAGCCAAAATCTTGGGTTGTAATCAATCGCAATATCTCCAGACCGATCACGACCATGAAGCCGGCATCACCAGCCGAAGGGCTCGTGGGTTTTGAGTCCGAATGAGTGTTATACAGAACCCATTTGTCGTTGGTGTTTCCCACGGGCGTTACTTTCACAGCGATATTTTGGACGTTGTTGTATAAATAGAGCTGGGTGTTACGAATAAAGGTGCCGTTACCAACTTGGGAGCTTATCTCCATGGTGACAAGTTTGTCGTCCACGTTTGCCAAAATCTTATTCAACTCGTTCAGGACAAAGTCATGGGTTTTGTTTTCATTGTTGTCACTGCTGAGCAACTTGACGCCAATTGCGTCAAAGTCGTAGAGGTTCTTCTGGGCCCGTTCGGCGATGAATACTCCGGATTGTCCGGCATCCTCGAGAGTCTTGCCTTCTGGTAGACGGTAGAAGACGGGTATTACCACGCCCAGGAAAAGCATGACCCAGAAAAGGACATAACCGCCAGCCACAAACCAAGGAAGCCTTGGAATTAGCTTGGTAATCCCTAGCTTCTTTTTAACATGAGCAGATTCCAGGGAATCGGCTGTTATCTGAAAGTCATATTAGATTATTATTATTGTTAACTTTTGAGTTTAAAGACTTTAATCCTTACAAGTTTCTCCTTGTCAGTCATGGTCCTGCTCAGTGACTGTAGCACAGTTCGAGACCTCTACACTTTTGGGACTGATCGGCATCGAGTTTCTTTAGCTTTTATATACCCGAAAATTGACGAATCCCAATAAACTTTTAGTGAATCAATTAAAATTTGATTATTGGGCTTGTGCTTGGTAATTTAGATAATGATTTATTGGCCAATATGTTCCATAAACATAACGAGGTGTGCCGAATTATAAAAACTAAGTAGCTTTCACTTTAGAAACGACACGTGCCAACTAAAACAGTTTAAGGACTTTTTCAATAAAAGCCTAATTTTCTTGAAGGTTAAGGACTATTTTAAAAGGTAGCTTCTTCTGACTGTTGTACGAGGTTTTTACTTAGTCATTATTTTTTTGGGTAAAACATGAGCAATTTAAAAAAGTTTCTAGAGTGTTCGAGGTAAGGGTCTTCGAGGTAAGATCCTTTAGATCAACTATTTTAAATCTTTAATCTAAGGGTTTCAACAAACAATCTAAACAATCTAAACAAAATCGTGGGTTACTTCCCAAATGGACTACTTATTTGAATAACTTTCGTCATATCACTTAGATACTAGCTTTATACTTCAAAAATATTAAAACTCATTAACCAACTCGGGCGGTAAATTTTCGTTTATTACACCTTTATCATAATCGATCTTATTCTCGAGAGTTTGATTTCTCAGCGCCTTTCATTGGCGATAGAAAATCTTTATGATTCCAGACCCACCGCAACTTAATGATTGTTACCAATGATATAGCGATAACGAATATTCCCCAAATCATTTCGATTATACGAAATATATGTATATTTTATAGACTTCAATAATACAAGGTGCAATGATGCAGCTACTTTCATACATATATTATCTTGAAATATACATAAAAGAAAAACCCCTTAATCGGCTTGTTCCTAACGTATAGACTTTTGCATAATTTAGATTACGCACTTTTATACAAGTAATGCCATAAAAGCGAAAGTGGTTTAAGAAATAATCTTCTTGAAAACAGAATTTTTGGATTAAGGAAACTTGAGTTTCGAAAATAATGAAACTACCCTCGTTTATTTGAACTTTATAGTGTCAAGTAGTCTAATATCTTTGGCGATAAGTGACGATTTTTGTGACGAGACCCACCACAACTGGTCGAGTTTTATATTGTACTTCACTTAACGTTCAAGAGTTAATTAACTCATTTTTGATTGGTCAGTTTTTGCAACAAAAAAATAAAGACCTCACTCAACTTTTCCCCAAACTAAAACATATTTTACAATTTAGTTTTAAAGGCTAGATAAAAGAGGATTCATTCAATAAAACAGTTAAAAAGATTCATTATTAAACCTTGTCAAAGTTATAGAAATAACCCCCAGATAGTACCCTATCTTTGATAATTTCAGAATTTTATTAAAAGCCAATTAATAACCAATTAATATTGGCCCCAGTGGGTTTGGGAAATTTCCATTGCTAATGCTATGCAAAGTTCATGATGATGTCATGTTTTTTAATGAAATTTCTTATGATCTTTTGTTTAGTTAGAATTTCTTAGAAGAAAAAGAAGGTTCAAGGAAAAGTAAAGTTTTTGGTAGAATTTAATTTGTTAGGTTTTTTTAAATAACATTTTTGTATTTTCGAATTGAATCTTAATATATATATCTCTTATAAATAGCCGGCCACTGGATAATCACTCCAAACTTAGGAAACTGTTCGGAGAACACTTGGGCCTCCTTATCGCCCTTACTATCCATGAATTGCACGGAAATGCCCACTCTTACAACTGGAACATTAAAGTCACCATCCGTTTTCTGTAAATAAATAAATTTCAATTCATTTCTAAGTAATTTATACAAGTTTCAAGACTCGTTTACCTTAACTTCGATGAAAAAGACCAGAGGTGACTTATCGATTCCGTACGAGAAGTAAATGTGATATGGAGGAGTTTGCGACGTGATATAGTCCTTGAGGAAGGTCCAGTCACTGATGGTAGCATCCTCCTCGGGCTGAATAAAGATGCTGGTGTGATCCGTGCAGTTAAGTTTGAATTCCAAACGCAGTATTGTCCCATCCTCCGATATAGTCCGGTTGAGCAGTTCCAGGGAGGGCTCTGCTGGCGTGTAAACTTGATTCTTTCGCGGCAACCACTTGTTGACCTCCATGGATTCGACCCAACGGTGATCGTATTGTGGTACTCCACAGAACATGTACTTTTTACAATCCTCCTCCATGCCAACCAAGCCGGTCAGATCAACGCCAGCATCCACTAGAGGTTTGCTGCCACGACGATCCTGGAAGTTGAACAGGTAGCCGGACTCGTCCTTGATCACAGTGCCATCGTACTCGTAGAAAATGCGGCGTACTTGCTAAAAAAGATTCATTAAAAAGATGTTTAATTTACGAATTTTTAAATAAAAAAAGTTTATCAACTAACCAAGTAAGGAATTCGCTGGACATTAGTCTTGGGGCGGTAGGGGAATCCAATATCAGTGGAGGTGGCAACGTAAACTGAGGCAGCAGTCACGGCCAAAAGTCCCAGAAGTACCAGGCCAGATCGACGGGAGACATGGATTAATATGATCTAAAAAAAGTAAAATATTGAAAATTTCAACAGTAGAATCCATCTAAATGTAATCTTACCAGAAAACCCATCGAAAATATGGCTCCAAAGGCAGTCAATCCACCGATATAATAGTCAGGATTAGTATCTCTGAAATTAACATTTTTGTAAATATTTATCACTAAATAGTTAGTTTAAAAAAAAAAGAAACTTACACTCCATAGCGGCCCATCATTGGGATGAAAATGATAATAAATGTGAAGCACAGGTAGCTGTTGTACAGGAAAGGTGCCAACTGGAAGGTTTTCAGGACTCCCGTCCAGGACAAGCCGCGATCGTGTAAGGTGCTCAGTAAGTTAAGGGCCAAGGGAACGACATAGAAGATGAGAGTCCAGGTAAGAATGTACGTGGTTCGTACGCCATAGTAGGTCAAAGCAGCTACAAGAAGGGCCAGGACAATGCCATGGCCATGAAGGGCAAACTGGACATGCTGAGCATAGGAGACTTTATCCTGTAAAGGGTGGGGAAAGTTAATATACAACCTATCTATAATAGATTATGGTAAAACTTACATAAGTCTGGAACTTGAGGTAAATATAACTGGGCAGAGCCAGACCTATGAGACTGGGGCACACATACAGGCCAACCAAGAGGGATGAGGTTGTGAAATAGCTGAGGGAGTAACCATACTTGTCCAGGCCATAGGCCATCAAAAAGGGCAAGGCCAGAGCCAGGACAAAGGCAATAACCTGGAGGACTTGAACTAGGATAAACCAGCCAAAGATCTTTCCATTGGACTCTTTAGACACGGAGGCAGTGCGCAGCAAGGACACATAGACAAGAATTATGGTTGCAGCAGCCACGGCATAGTTTAGCTTCACTCCAGTCTCCTCTGAGTACTTGATTAAATACAATCCGAGGACATCAAAGAATACCATATTTCCAGATTCGTTTGACTGTTTTGTTTACAAGGTTAATGGATAAAGAGCTCTATTATCTTAATATTAACTTACCTCCATGTCTTTCATTTCTGGGGCATTTGAAAGAGCTCGCACCAAACTTAGAAGATTGTCTCCAGTGTTCTGGAGGGCACCTCGGGGTATCACATCAATACTGTCGTATTTGGTGTGGTAAACAAAGCCATTGAGAATCTGGCCAAAATCCAGACCTGTTAAGGTAATAATATTAAAAAACTTAGCCCTATAAAATCCTTTTAAAATACTTGCCAATAAGATTTCCGAATTCCACAAAAATTGCAAAATCCGTATAGGAGGGAACTAAGCCAGCTTGGAAAATTTCCTCAGCCATGACAGTGGAGAAATAATGCTTGGCATTCTTCTGGTACAACTATAAAATAAAATATAAAAAATATATTTTTAAAATCAGATTTAACACAAAAAAAAAATGATTCTTACATCAACAAGCCAGGGATTGTTGGGCCCTGTCTGAAAAACAATTTCCCGACCACCACTGCCACCAGCATCCAGATTAATCAGAGACCTTAAAATAAATCAAAACCGATTCAACTTAAAATATTTTTAAAAAATATATTAAAAACCCAAAACTTACTTGCAGTTTTTGGCCCATTTGTGATGAGCGATGAAGGCATGAGAGGCTTGCAAAGAATTCTCCTCGGATCCATTAAATAAAAAGATAATGGTGTGTTGGGTGGTCTCGTTGCCGGAGGATATCACTCGCAGGACCTCCATGGAAGAGACCAGCATGTGACCATCATCGCCAGTGGAGGGACTGGTGGGCTGAGAGTCAAAGTGACTATTCACCAGGACATAGTTCTCGCTAGTGCTACCTTTAGGTGTTAGTTTCACGACAACGTTCTGAATGCCCTGGTACATGTTCACCAGATTCCATTTCACATACGCCCCATAGGCTCTTTGTACATCGATTTCCAGTTCAAAGAGATCTGTGTTCAGGTTGTCCTTGATCAGATTAATTTCCTTTAGAAGAAACGCCACTGTCTTGATCTCGTTGTTGTCACTGCCCACGACCTTGGTTCCGATGGCACCGAACTCGTACAAATTAGCGTAGGCACGTTCGGCAATAAAGCCTCCATTGGGGGCATCCTCCAGGGTCTGAGGCTCAGGCAGGCGGTAGAAAAGAGGCTTTACTACCGACACAAAAAGCAGGGCCCAGAACAGAACAACACCGCCAGCAAAGTACCAAGGCAACTGGAAGTATCCTTTTTGAAGCTTAGCATTTTTCTTGGAGATTATATGATGGACTCCCTCTTCAACGGGTTCATCTAAAATCTATAAGAATACAAAATGTTTCTTATTATAATCTCTTTTTTTTTGGCTATAATATCCTTACCAGCTTTTCCTTGTCGCCCATTTTTCTGCCAGCTTCCCTAAGTGCTTGTCCAATGGCAGTCAGGGAGGTAATGTCTTGACCAAAATGTATCAACTGCTTTTATAACAGGACCGATTCTATGGAAAGTTTCTAAATTATCAATTTTCTAACTGCTCTCATCGTAAATCTTGTTTATGGGCTTTACCAGCGATATTAAGATTTTAGGCGTGTTACCAATTCGAGTTCCATTACCACTTTGAACCGACCTACCCCTCCAAAGCAATTTAATCGGCACGATTACGAAAAGGCCCATAACAATTTGGCCAAAATTATGATAAACATATCTCTAATCAATCTTTGGCGATAAGAAAAGTCTGTGAATTCTTACTATTGTTGTTGCCATGGCATATATGTACAAAGGAGTGTCTAAAATCATAAAAGTTTATGAGAACACACTGAACGCACACGTGTGGTACTATCGAGAACATTATTGATGGTTTTTTAATGTGAAACACACTTATGCTAATAAAGCTCATATCTTTTCGATATGAAAATTATGATTGCATTGATAAACATTAATATTGTTATATATTTATCTTTTAACATTTGTGGAACTTTGATTTTGATTTATTCAACTCCAATTCTCGTAAATTAAAGTTGAGTGCTGAAGCTTATTTACAACAACGAGTTTAATTGGATTTCAATTGACTGATTATTGAAGCTTAATAGCCAAGTGGTTTCTATTAATCTATATATGAGCCATAAATTTTGGTTCGGCATATTCATTAGTCATTTTTCACGATCCAGATACTTAAGAACGTTCTGGCATATCACCAGATCCAGAGGTGTATGCTTTACAGCAATAAATAATTGTTTATTGATTGTTTACAATAATTGTTTTATTGAAGTCATAATTTGAATTTAATGACGGTATATCAAGTCGTATAAATAGGGAACCACTTTCAGTTTAGTAAATGAATCGCTGGTACGAGGTTGGCCACTCAATCAAGACGGCATAGTCTGGGAAGGATTTGGCAAACTCCTGGCTGATCTGGTCTCCCTTGTCGCCGATGAAGTGCCCGGCAACACCCATTTGGAAAAGAGGAACATTAAAAACTCCATTGCTCTTCTGTAAATTGATTTAGATTAATATTCGGTAATATTTTTGTTAGAAGACCACTTACGAAGCAATCAATAAAGAAGGATAGAGGTGTACTATCCCTACCATGTGAGAAATATACATGGTAGGTAGTTTGCTGGTCGATGTAGGCCAATGGGAAGGTCCAATTGGTTACATTCACGTACTCGTAGGGCTGGATAAATATGCTTGTGTGGTCTGTGACATTTATCCTGAACTTGTAGCGTATGGTTTGCTTGTCGGCCTGGATGACTTTGCTCAGAAGTTCCACCTCTGGCACTCTTGGGGGATCAATGAGCTGTTCCCGCGGCAGCCACATTGCATTCAGTCGATTCTTTACCCAGCGATGATCGTACAGTGGGTACCCGCACATCATGTACTTCTCACAGTCCGCCGATATGCCAACTAGTCCGGTTAAGTTTACAGAAGTGCCCTGCAAAGGAGCTGGCCCACGACGATCCTGGAAGTTAAATAAATAACCGGAATCGTCCTTGCTGATGGAGCCATCGTATTCATAAAGAGTTCTGCGGACATGCTGGATAATGAGAAGGCATTTGTAACTTTTCTAGGGATATCTATAAAGGTAATACTTACTAGGTACGGCACTCTTTCTACGTTTGTTTTGGCGCGATATGGAAAACCCAAATGAGTACATGTGGCGACATAGATACTAATACCGATTACAGTTAAGAGAGTGACTAAGATTAATCCAGGACGACGGAATATATTGACCAGGGGGATCTAAATAAACCAAAATAAGTATGTCATGTTTGGAGGTCTAAGAAATACTTACCAAGAACCCCATTGCCATCACAGTTCCCAAAGCATTAATACCCGACATAAATAGATCTGGATTGGTTGATCTGAAGTTAATAGATACAATAAATTTCAAATTGTTTACAAAATATTGGTTATATTACCTTCCAAACCGCCCCATCATGGCAATCATACATTTTATAAGTGTATATTGCAAATAGGTGTTGTACAAAAACGAAACCAGTTGTCCAATTAACAGGAAACCAATCCACGCTAAGCTGCGATCATGAAGTGAGGTGATCAGATTAAGTACCAGGGGTAGGACGTAAAAAACAAGAGTCCAGGTCAGCACATAGGTACTCCTTAAACCATACAAAGTCAAACAAATTCCCAAAACTGAGAGGATTAAAGCTTGAGAATGTAAAAACAATTGCAATTGTTGTCCGAAGGAAACTTTACGCTGAAAAATAAACTTTATAAATCACTTATTATTTTAAAAAAATATTAGTTATACTTACATTATTTGGCAGCTTCAGAAAAATGTACGAGGGAAGACATAGTCCAAAGAGACTAGGACATACATAGAGACCAAACATAAGCTCGGATGTAGTGAAATAGGTTAAAGGTAGACCACATTTATCAAAATAATACGCTATTATTATGGGCAAACCTATGCCCAGGACAAAGGCAATAACTTGTACCACTAGAATCGGAGTAAACCAGCACAGGACATATCCAATGGATACCTGGGAAATGCCCGACATTCTGCATATAGATACGAAGATTAGGATGATGGTGGCTACGGCTACGGAATAATTAAGGATAACGCCTGTGCTCTCGGTGTAGCTGACAACGTAGAGTCCCAGGACATCAAAGAATACCGAAGGACCTAAGGCATATGCAGCAGTATCGCGCAACTCGGTGGCATTTGACAAAGCTCGAACAAAACTAAGAATATTATCGCCCATACTCTGGACCGAATCGGCGGGAATTATCTCGTAGCCATCGTACTTGGTGTGATAGGTGAATCCATTTATATTTTGGGCCAAGTCGAGGCCAATGAGACTTCCATATTTGACCAGGATTCCAAAGTCCGTGTCCGATGGCATGGAACCTGTTTGGAATATTTCCTCACCCACCGTTGTGGCGAACGGGTGCAAGGCATTCTGTTTGTAGGCCTGAAAGGTAATTGGAATTACACATCATAGTTATCTGAAACAGTTTTTGTGGCTCTTACCTCTACCAGCCAAGGATGATTGGGTCCAGTTTGGAACAGAAGCTCTCTGCCGCCACCAGCACCTCCTTCCAGATTTAGGAAGACTCTGCGGAGACATGGGGTTAAGGTACGCGAAACTAAATACTTATAGGCGTCTCTCACTTGCAGTTCTTGGCCCACTTGTGCTGGCTAACAAATCCGTGCGAAGCCTGAAGAGGATTCTCCTCAGCTCCGTTTAACAGGAAGATGATTGGATGCTGAAAGGATTGCCTGGTAGTCGACATTACTCTCAGCACTTCCAGGATAATAGAAACCATTTGTCCAGCGTCACCAGCAGATGGACTCGTCGGCTTGGAGTCGAAGTGGCTGTTGACCAGGAGGTACGTATCGCTCGTACAATTCTTGGGGCTAAGCTTAATGACCAGGTTCTGGACTCCCTGGTACATGTTCACCATAGTCCAGTGAATGTAGGAACCTGAAACCTGCTGATGGTCGATCTCGATATCGAAGTAATCATCCAGAACATGCTCCTTGATCAAAGCCAATTCATTAAGCAAATATTGGACCGTCTTGTTCTCGTTGTTGAAGCTGCCAACTACTTTGGGACCGATCTTGACCAGGTTATAGAGATTGTCCATAGCTCGCTGGGCGATAAATTCACCCTTGTTGAAGTCCTCCATAGTCTTAGGATTGGGCACGTGATGGAAAAATGGCATCACCACGGCCACAAACAGAATAAGCCAGAAGAGAAGAAAACCAATACCGAAATACCAAGGACTCTTCCTCCGACCATTGGAGGAGACACTTTCATCACTAGAAAACTCATCCAACAACTGAAAAACAATACCTTACATTTATTGAGAAATTCTTGTTTTTAATATTCGAGTAGAAATTAGTACCCTTTCTTTGTCACCCATTTTTAAATCACTGCACGCGCTAGTTCTGCTTGACTCCGACTAAATGGTTAGTACCAATTGGTCACTTCTTTTATAGTCCAAAAAACCTCGGAATTTGATTTCTTATCTGTTTATGGCACTTTAATAAATGGGCCAATAAAGTTTCTTGATTTGCTGATTATATAACCGAAAAGGTTTAAACGAAAAAGTATAGAGTATTCTATAACGAATTCTTAGTCTTTTAACGAATTAATTGTAATATTTTGACTTCTTAAGAAGTTAATGGACGGATATTCTTTAGCTTAGAAAATAAATTGTTGATATGAAGTGGGCCACTGGATTGTAGCGGCAAAGTCGGGAAAGGAATTAGCAAAGTCCTGGCTGATTTTGTCTCCTTTATCGCCAATAAAGTGTCCTGATACACCCATTTCGAACAGGGGCTCCTCAAAGTCTCCGTTGCTTTTCTGTGAAGGAAACATCATAAGTTATTTGTTTTTTAAATATTGCAAACATTGATACACTTACATTAAAATCTATGAAAAAGAAAAGAGGAGAATTGTTGTTGCCGTATGAGAAGTATATATGATAGGGAGGTTGGTGCTCGATGTATTTCATCGGAAATGTCCAATTTTTAACGTTTACATTTTTGTAAGGTTGGATAAAAATGCTTGTGTGATCTGTGACATTTATCTTGAATTTGTAATGAATGGTTTTATTGTCTGGGTGGACAAATTTGCTTAAAAGGTCCACCTCGGGCACTCGGGGAGGATCGATTAGCTTCTCCCGTGGCAGCCACATCAGATCCATTCGGTTCTTTACCCAGTGGTGATCGAAAAGTGGATGACCACACATCATGAACTTTTCACAGTCTTCAGAAATCCCCACTAGCCCGTTTAAGTTTACAGTGCTTTCCAATGGAGTGTGTCCGTGACGATCCTGGAAGTTGAACAAATACCCCGAGTCGTCCTTGCTAATAGTACCGTTGTAGTCGAAAAAGGTACGTCGAACTTGCTGAAAATATAAAGAGGCATAAATACTTTTTGAAGAAAATGTATCTTTAATGTACAAACCAGGTAAGGAACTCGTTGCACGTTTGTTATTGGCCGATACGGAAAACCGAAAGGTGTGGAGGCTAAAATGATGCTAAGGACGAAAATTACCAACAAATAAAATAAAACTGCAAAAGGACGACGGAACATATTGACCAAAGGAATCTAAACAGCAAAGGGATTTTTAATTTAATAAAAATAATACAGTTTAGCACAAGTATTCCTACCAAGAAGCCCATTGCTAGGATAGTTCCCATGGCATTGATTAGTGCTATATAGTGATCAGGATTTTCGCTTCTGAAATGAGATAAACGATATATTACCAATATCGTATTATAGTTTTTTAACTTACCTGCCCAGTAGTCCCATCACAGGAGTAACTGTCTTTATTAGAGTGTATTGCAAATAGGTCACATAAAAGAATGAAAAGCCGTGACATATCAAAAGGGCTCCCGTCCAAGAGAATTGGACATCTGGGAGGATCAAATTGATGAGCAGTTGAAGATCGAAAAAGATGAGAGTCCAGGTGATAACATAAGCACTTTTGTAGCCCGAGCAAGTGAAATATATGGTCAGGAACGCCAGAATGAGTGCTTGGTTCAGTATAAAAAGATGCAATACTCGAGCATAGGACACAGCATGCTGTTGGGTTAACAAGAATATATTTCTTAAAAAGTTAAGGATGATAAAAATGCAAAAACCTTACCCCACGACACATTGGCATAACGATAATTGAGGGTAAACAAAGTCCAAAGAGACTGGGACACACGTATAGACCAAACATTAGCGACGGGGAACTGAAATAGGTTAAGCTTCGGCCACAACTATCAAAGATTTTTGCCACCCATATGGGTAGTATCCAGCCCAGATAAAAGGCGAAGATCTGGAGTATTAGAACTGGTACGAAGAATCCAATCACTGCACGTATGGATACATTAGACATGCACGATATTTTGAACAGGTATAGCACAATAAGGAAAATGGTAGCTCCTGCCACGGTCCAGTTTACAAGCCAAACTTTCGAGTACCCGACAACGGTCAGTCCCAGAAAATCGAAGAACACAGGGGTTCCACCGGCATGCTCCTGGCAATGAAACATTTAAATCAAACTCCCAATGGAGATTAGACTTGAGATTCCTACCTCAATGTCCTGCAACTCCTTCGCATTGCCAAAGGCGCGTACCAAGCTAAGTACATCATCGCCAATGCTTTGGAGCGAATCCGATGAAATAATGTTGTAGCTATCCAACTTGGTTTGGTAGGTATAGCTGTTGATGCTCTGGGCCAGATTAAGACCTAAGAAATAAACTTTTTGAAAAAGAGTATCTAAAAGTTATGAATCTATAATGAAATACCTGGCATATATTTAGTTAGAATACTAAAGTCGGTATCCACTGGGAAGTCTTCCAAAATGTCCTCAGCCATGACTGTGGCAAACGGGTGTTTTACATAACTTTTGTAATACTAAAAATAGTATAATGGCTTTAAATTAAAGTTTAAAAATTATATTTCATGCTCACCTCTACCAGCCAGGCATGATCGGGACTACTTTGAGCAAGTAGCACGCGCCCTCCACCACCATAGCCGTCTAGATTAAGAAAAACTCTAATAAGGAAGGAAGGTTGTCATATAATTATGATATTTTATTTATGTCTTACTTGCACTTCTTGGCCCATTTGTGCTTGGTAACAAAGCCGTGGGAAGCCTGCATGGGATTTTCCTCGGCTCCGTTTAGTAGAAAAACAATTGGATTCTCAAATGGCTCCCTTGTGGTGGACATCACTCTCAGAACTTCCAGGATAGTGGCAATCATTTGACCACCTCCGGCCGATGGACTCGTCGGCTTGGAGTCAAAGTGGCTGTTGACCAGGAGGTACGCATCGCCTGTGCAATTCTTTGGGCTGAGCTTAATGACCAGGTTCTGGACTCCCTGGTACATGTTTACCATGGTCCAGTGAATATAGGAACCTGAAACCTGCTGATGGTCGATCTCGATATCGAAGTAATCATCCAGCACCTGCTCCTTGATCAAAGCCAATTCATTAAGCAAATATTGGACCGTCTTGTTCTCGTTGTTGAAGCTGCCAACTACTTTGGGACCAATGTTGGTCAGGTTATAGAGATTTTCCATAGCCCTTTGGGCGATGAATACTCCCTTGGAAGACTCATGCCGGGTCTTGGCGTTGGGCAGACTGTTGAACAATGGCACCACTACCGCTTGAAACAGGAGTAGCCAGAATAGAAGGAAGATGCTACTTATATACCACTGACTTCTCGAATTATCCACTCGATGGCTCTAAAATTAAACATACAATGAATTTTTACATACATACATATGTATTTTTCTTTAAATTTATGTAGCTTGGTCACACTAGCTTTGTTTGGAAAAAGGGGCTTCCCAGTAAATAAAACTATTGGGATTTATTTATCAGCTACTTACAGGCATTTTTGTTTCTTCAGGTATTGGCCTTTTTGAAAATTCCTAGAAAATGCAAAGTTTTAATTATTGTATGTTTATTGTAAAAGTGTATAACTGTGGACTAACTTGTATATTTATTAGTCAAAATTCTTTACTATCTTTTTGGTCATATGTATCTATTATAGAGGTAAAAATGGTACAAATCAACCAATTTTTGTTTTGGTTACAATTTTGATTGAGCTATACATATGGACATATGTATGCAAGAAAATAAATATTTGTTGTGATACATATATGTATGTGCATGTATGTAAGTATTTTTGCAAAGCCCATGCGATAACCAAAACTTAGCTACATTAGGATAGGTCACGAAGCTGCAAAAACATATGTGCTAATTTTATTGTAATGGTTATTCACTTTTAATTTTTTTTTATCATAAAAACTTACTTTTAACAACTTGCAATGATGAAAACACCCGAAATGGCACTTGATATCAATGAACTTTTTTCCGTAAATAAGTCACGATCATGCCGAAAGTTGTGTGACCAAAGAGCTTTATTTAAATGTTACCTCATACTAAATTAATACCAAATGGTAGAGTGGGCGCGCAATTCAAATCATTTAGGCTTTATCTAAGCATAATAGTACATATCTTTTTTTAATTACATTTAATTTTTAATTAAATATTTGTTTATTTGTTTTATTTATAAAAAATTGTTTTTTGAAATTATGGCTTTGAGGTAGTAATTCTCTTAATAATTATAAACTTGATAGGAGGTTGGCCAATCCACTGGCGCAGCATAGGAAGGCAGCGAGTCTATAAACTTTTGACTGGTCTCATCGACTGGCTTTCCAATGAAATGTACGGCTAGACCAATGTGAAAAATTGGAACATTAAAGTCTCCATTGGATTTCTAAAAGAAAAACACCATCATGACATTACTATTAAGACTATATATGAATTAATCGGACTTACCGAAAACTCTATGAAAAAGGTCAGTGGGGAATTGTCCTTGCCATAAGTAAAGTATATATGGTACGTAGCTTGGGTGCCGATGTAAGTGTGCTCGAAGGACCATTTGGAAATGTTCACATCTTTATTGTGTTGTATGAACACACTGCAGTGGTCCGTGCAGTTGGCCCGGAATTCGAACCGCACCGTAACATTGTTCTCCAGAATAGTCCTGTTCAGTAGCTCCAGTTTGACATCGTAGGGAACCACAACTGGCTCCGATCGGGGCAGGTATAGGGCGTTAAGGCGATTCTTAACCCAACGGTGATCGTACATGGGATAGCCGCACATCAAATACTTGTCACAGTCGGAAGCGACATAGACCAGTCCCGTCATATTCATCTCGGTGTTCTTCAGGGGGTTGGGTCCGCGACGATCCTGAAAGTTGAACAAATAACCCGAGTCGTCCTTGCTCACTGAGCCGTCGTACTCGTAGAAGGTTCTACGAACATGCTGAAATAAAAGAATGACGTTAATATTGTTACAATATGCCACTTTCCGAAAAAACCCACCAGGAAAGGCACTCGTTGTACATTGGTCACTGGACGATACGGAAAACCAATTAGTGTGGAGGTAGCCGTATAAATAGTGACTCCGCTTACTGCCAAAATAGCTATTAAAATAAGGCCAGGTCTGCGGAACATATTTATTAAGGGAATCTTTGAAGAAAATGTGAATTTTACTATTTATAAGTTTCATAATAATATACACATGTACTTACCAAGAAACCTAATGCCATAATTGTGCCCAAGGAGTTCAGTGCAGAAATAATCAAATCGGGATTAATTGACCTATAAGAAAATAAGAGAAAGTTGAAGGGTTTCTGAGATACAGTGTACGATTAACTTACCTGCCGAAACGACCCATCATGGGTGTGAGAATCACCAAAAAGCAGAATATCAAATAGCTATTGTAGGCAAAGGGGATAATTTGAAAAATCTTATGCAATCCAGCCCAAGCGAACGCACGATCGTGGAGAGTAGTTAGCAGATTTAGGATTAAAGGAATCACATAAAAGATTAGGGTCCAGGTTACCACATAGGTGCTTCTCAGATCACACGAGGTCATTGCAACTGTTAGGAGCACCAGAACAGCGGCATGTCCATGAAGAACCAATTGTATTTGTTGGGCATAAGAAATTTTGTCCTGTTTTGTAAAATATAATTAATTAAACATTTACAAAACTACTTAGTAAGGACTCACTGTCTTCTGGAGTCGGAGATAGATGTATGATGGCAAACTCAATCCCAGGAGACTTGGACACACATAAAGGCCAATCATCAAAAGCGGAGTGCTAAAATAAGTCATCGGAAGTCCATATTTGTCCAAAACATAAGCTACTATCAGAGGAAAGCCAAAACCCAGGACAACTGCTACAATTTGTAGTACCAGGATCAGGAAAAACCGTTTCGCAACATAACCAGTGGACATATAGTTAACAGATGCAATACGCCAAATGGATATAAAAATCAGGATAAGGGTTATCAAGGCTACGCAACAGTTGAGGATAACGCCTGTGCTCTCGTTATAGCTTATGAAAGAAATTCCTAGAAAATCAAAAAAGACAGCATGTCCTGATGCATGGGCCTAGATAAAAGTTAAAGCTTCTTGTAAGGTGTGTAACAGTTTATATATTAAGTAAGAAATAACCTACCGAAAGGTCGTTCAACTCAGTGGCATTAACGAGGGCTCTTACCAGAGCCAGTACGTTTTCGCCTGTATTTTGGGTAGAGCCACGAGGAATATTTGAAAAGCGATCATATTTTGTATGGTAAGTATAACCATTGATGCACTGAGCAATATCCAGACCTGTAATAAGGGTTTACTTAATAGTTTTTACTCCGAAGATTATTTTTTTAGTTACCAATTAGATTTCCGTGGGTAACAAATATATGAAAATCGGTATCGGAAGGCAGGATGCCTGTTTGGAAGATTTCTTCCGCCATGGTGGTGGCAAAATAATGTTTAGCATTATCCTTATAATACTGAAAATATTTGTTAAATAAAAGAAATACAAATATTTCAAAGGAAAACTTTACCTTTACTAGCCATGGATGATTGGGACCACTTTGAAAGAGAATCTCCCGACCGCCACCACCGGATGAATCCAAATTAATGAGAACTCTTAAAAGCGAATTCATTAAATTAGAACAGCCTATTGTTATATTTATTTAATTCGTAAATAAACTTACTTGCAGTCCTTGGCCCACGGGTGCTGGGTAATAAATCCATGTGAGGCCTCCAGAGGATTCTCTTCGGCGCCGTTTAAAAGAAATATAATTGGATGCCGGAAAGTCTGTCTGGTTGAGGACATCACCCGCAGGACCTCCAGGATAACCACAACCATTTGTCCATCGTCTCCAGCAGATGGACTTGTTGGCTTAGAATCAAAGTGGCCATTGATCAAGATGGTAGTATTACTTGTAGAGTTCTTCGGGGTCAACCTAATGGCTATATTCTGAACTCCTTGGTACATGTTGATCATTGTCCTATGGATGTACGATCCAGAAACTTCTTGTAAGTCGACTTCAATATCAAAGTAATCGTCCAGGGCGTTGTCCAGAATCTCTTCCACCACACTCAGCAGGTAACCAACAGTTTGGTTCTCATTGGCATCGCTTCCTACTACTTTGGGTCCGATCTTGTCCAGATTCCAGAGATCTTTCTGGGCCCGCTGGGCAATAAAGACCCCCTTGTGGGCATCCTCGATGGTCAAACCATTCGGAAGACGGTAGAAAAGTGGCACCACAATTGCAAAGAAAATCAGGACCCAGAAGAGGAGGAAGCCACTTGCCAAGTACCAGGGTCCTCTCCATTGTTTTCCTGCATTTTTGGAATATCTAGAGGATCCGGATTGATTTCTACTTTCTTCGGCTTCATCGGCAATCTGTCAAAGAATATTTACTAATTTAATATTATTTTACAGAAATTAACCTAGTTCGTCTCTATTTTTCTGGAAAAACTCTCAGGGAGATAAAAGCACAATAATTAAGTTTTGTATTACCATTCTATGTGATAAGAATGTTATTATTTGATCGTAAACGGTTTTTATGATTTTAGGCTTATACAAAAAATGATTGAAGACGATTCGAAGACGTACGATTTCATGTTCCTTTTTTCAAAATAAAATATCATAATGGGCTCTACCATAGTCGTATACCAGACCCACCACAACCCAATTTATGTTAATTAAAAAATTGAAAAATAGATTTGCTTATCGGCAAGCATTGCAGGAAAAATTTTGTAGATATACTTGAGTTGTGGTATTTACTCAACAGAATTTTATTGATAAATGCGGGTTTGAAGTGCAATCCTCATTGATTAAATCGACACATTGTCACTTGTCCACACTTAACTGACTTTTTATGAATTAACTCACCTTATTTCGACAAGATTCGAACCGATTTTGTAGGCTCTGCCACATGTTCTTTCGAGGCAAACAATTAAACTGAGAAGAAATCTCCCAAAGGCGCTTCATTTTAGACATTTACTTATCAGATTATTTTTGTCTAAAAAATTCGTACTCTCACGATTGAGGAGAGAATTTCTATGATATTGTAGTTGTAGAACGCGTTTTTTTTAGTTTGGTTCTCAATCTCCAAAAAACACTCAGTTCCCAGGCGTCTAATCTCGCAATAAATGTGAGAATCAGCTTTTAGTTGGGATTCCGTACATTCCGATACGCACCTTTTTTGTTTACATTTCGCCAAAGTTGTGTTTACCAAACTATTAATTTAGGCAGGAAATAAATAACCATGTCAGGGCTTTCATTTATAATTACAGTATATTCGTATTGTAGTTTAATAAAATATGAATTTTTTATGCCTGATTCTATACAGTTAAACATTAACGCCTAATGACTACAATTAGTAAATCGGAAATAATATCATTGCGGGTTGTGACCTTAGAAGTACCAGGTCTCATAGGACCCGACCCAGCCCTGAATGTAGGCGTACGAGGGAAACCGACTGATGTAGCTGCTGAGCTTATCGATGGCAGTGATGTCCTGTGTAACCCAGTGACCTCCAATACCAATCTCTAGGGTGGGTGTGTCAAATGTCGATGTCGTCTTCTGCAAACAGTAAAACAGTAAAAAGCTTATTATTTATTCAGATTGATGTAATTTATTATACAAACCTCTACATCAATGGTAAATTCCAGGGGACTATCATCCAGTCCGTAAGAAAAGTAAACCATGAACGGTGGTTCCTCATTTTCACGTATGAGTGTGTCGTTGAAGGACCAGTTCAGTATTTTGGCATCGTTCTTTACGTTAATAAATATTCCCATATGCGAGGGTCCTTCCAGGGTGAAGTTGAATCGCCTCTGGCCAGCACTCTCCAGTTCAATGCTGTCCTGCAGCACAAGCTTTGGATATTCGGTGGGTACTTCCGGTTGCTCCGATGTCTCCACCCAAAGGCTATATTCTCGAGCCTTGTTCCAGCGATGATTGTAAAGCGGCATGCCACAAAACATTTCCTCATGGCAAAAGTCACTGACCTTATGAGTTTCACCAAAGGCTTCAATTTGATCTACAAAGAGGTAGATAAGAAAAAATATTAAAGAACTAAAAACATTAAATTTTTCTTAAGAATTTAAAGATAAATTGTTTTTATTAAGGATATAGAAGAAGAAAGGAAAATGTTATAATTTAAAGGTATATATTTATATATTTTCCAAAACATACATCTATTCAGAAAACATTTGACCAAAATTATAATACCCTTCGAAACTAACTAAATTGATGGAATACTTACCATGTGCTATGTCGAAGCGTCTATCCTGGGGATATATGTACAAGCCGGACTCATCTATGCGAGTGCTTCCATCGGCATTATGCAAACGACGGTGGGCATGCTTTATATAAAGTTAAATAATGTTAATTATTGTGGTGCTATTATACTGGATTTTTATTGAAAACTTACAATCATAGAGTATCGCTGTGGCGATGTCTTTTCTTTGTAGGGAAAACCGGCATCTGTGACAGCAATGATGATGAACAAAATAGTAATTCCTAGGAAGCAAAGGACTATGGTTCTTGTCTTGCGAAAGAACATTGTCAATGGGACCTGAAAATATAAAACTTAATAGTCTGTCTTTTTATAGAGAAAGGTAGTTCTCAACTTACAATAAAACCCGCAAACATTAGAGAGAAAAGCCAAACCATGCCTGCCACAACTAAATCAGGATTTGTAGAAGACCCTGAACGTCCTTGCATGGGCACCATAGTAATCAGAGCAGTTGTACACAGATATGTGAAGAAAATAAAGGGCAGGATCTGGCATACCATGACAGCAATGGCAAACAAATAGGCTAAATTATAAAAAATATGATAATATATATTATAAAATGGATAAAATATTAAATGCTTACCCTTACGATGCCATTTGGTTACCAGATTCACAATTAAAGCGATAATGTCGAATACCAAGCAGACCATTATGAGAAAAGCTGATCGAATGCTCATTCCGGTTAGGATCAACATGATCAGAATCAGACAAAGGCAATGTGAGTGCAGGAACAGTTGGATGCGGAAGCCTAAGCCCAAGGGATCTCGCTTGGTCCTTTCCAGATACAAGGCTGGCAGTATACCCAAGCCGAAGATAATCGGTGAAAGGTACAGACCCCAGATAGTCCAGGAAGAAGTAAACCAAGTCATGGAACGATTTACGCCGTCCATGAAAACAGCCACCAGCAGGGCAAGTCCTATAGCCAGGAACACGGAGACAAGCTGAATGCCAAAGGTGATGGCGAAACGCAGCAGGACGCCCTTCCAGCTGCAACCGGATCGGAGGCACATGAAATATATGGAGATTCCGATTCCCAGAAGAGCCAGCACAGCCACCACCACGTTTATAATGATGCTAGTGGTTTGGGTGTAAAAGATCATGAACCAGCCCAGGAAATCATAGAAAATGTTGTGTCCTTCAGCATGGGCCTGAACAAAGATAGCAATAATTAAACCACTTCAAAGATAATGGTTAAAGTTCCTAGCTTACCTCAGTATCATCCATTTCTGGGGCATTAGCCAGAGCTCGTGCCAGGGACAGGACATTGTCACCTGTATGCTGAAAAGAAGCCCTCGGAAAAGCATTTATCCTGTCGTACTTGGTATGATAAACATAGCCATTGAAGATGTAGGCCATGTCTAGACCGGGAACACCTCCAAAATCCCGGAAGATGCGGAAATCCGTGTCTGATGGAATATAACCAGCCTGGAAGAGCTCCTCGGCCAGGGTATTGGCAAAAGGATGTGGAACATTCCGATAGTAATTCATAAGCCAGGGATGATTGGGTCCGGATTGAAAGAGGATTTCCCGGCCACCACTGCCCGCGGAGTCCAGGTTGATAAGAGCTCTGTTGGTACAGTTAACGAATTAATATTTTAATTAAAATTGAAAGTTAAACTGAATACTTACTTGCAGTTATGGGCCCATTTGTGCTGAGTTATAAAGGCGTGCGACGCTTGTAAAGGATTCTCCTCAGCACCATTGAAGAGAAATACAATGGGATGGGCAAGTGGATCACCTGTCTTGGCTATTACCCTCATTACTTCCAGCATAGTCACCACCATGGAACCATCGTCACCAGCTCCCGGACTGCCAGGCACAGAATCGTAGTGACTGTTGATCAGCAAGTAGTTCTCGTTGGTAGAGTTCCTCTCCGATAGCTTAACGACCACATTCTGAATACCCTGATACATGTTCACCATCTCCCAGTGCATGTAGGCACCGCTTGCCTGCTGAACATCCACTTCGATCTCATACCGATCGCTCATCTCGGCCTCCACCTTGGCCACCTCGGAACGAAGGAACTCCACCGTGGTCTCTTCGTTGGTGATGCTGCCCACCACTCGAGGCCCGATGCGGGTCAGCTCGATAAGGGTCTCCTCAGCTCTTTGTGCGATAAAGGATGTGGGGTTACTGGCCTCATCGCTGCGCAATAGAGGTGTGGGCATGTGGTTGATTTGGGTGTTGACCACGGAAAAGTACAAGACCAGCCAGAAGGCAAAGAAGGCGGGAGCGTAATACCATTGCAGCTTCTTCGGCACCTCAAAGTCCACATCCAGATGATATTTTGAATTGAACTGTTGAATAATAATGGATAATCTTTTGAATTCCTTTGGGGAAATACTCCCTATACATCTATAGAGTGAGTCTTTGATCAAAACACTATATCTAATCGCCAGCTGGCAGCGGCATGTCTACGGGAATAGAAATCCCATCACATATTTGGGATAATAATTTATAGCCTGACAAAAATGCACGGTCTAGACCACCTGAATTCAAAGTTTATACTGCCAAAAATCAGCAGAAACCATGAGCGCAACATTTTTTTTGTTAATAACTTTATGGTTTTATAATCGAACTTAATCGGTGAGCGATTAGTGCCATGTTCGTGGTTCGCAAACCTTTCTTTTTGATTTTTTGAGTAAACAGTCCTCGACATTGAAACCGTGCGGCGTCGCGTGTTCACTTCATGATTCACGGGGCGTGTGGGTTGGATGGGCTTTTGGCCAAAGTGAGATTATCAAGGACCATAAAACGGCAGAAGTTGCTGGCCCGTAAACCGATAACGCCTCTAATAAATAAGTAATAGTACGTTTTATCGCTCGGACATGCTAAGAAATTCGCAATTTTCGCCAAATTGACGGCGCCTTTGAAGTATGTCCATTCTGTTAAGGTTACTTAATCGATTTCCAATCTATACGAGGTGTTTATTTTATTTCTAAATTTGTAATATTGCTGAGTCGAAATGACTATAGATTCTAGATTGGTCAGAGGTTACATTGCTTCACACTTGATCTCAATCAAATTATTTAAATTCCTTGATTTTGGATTATAAACTGCACATTCTTGAAATTTTGTTCGATAAGATTGCTCTCGAAATAGATTTGAAGGAGTTAACAATTTTTAACATGGGGGTCTACAGATTAAGAGCCCATTATTAAAAATTTATTGCAGTTGCAGAAATTAATCTTAAGACTCTTTAAGGAATTTTTCACATTCTTGGTTCTTTTTATCAAAGCACTGAGTGAAAAAAATTATAGCACTATAATACGTACAGTCATTGTGATTGGGGACTTTGTTCACTGGTATCCTATTATCACAGTTATCCTTTTAAAGGATATTTTTTGTAACCGTTGTCAGGCCGATCCGGTTTTTGGTATTCCAAGTTCTCCCACAACCGGGTACCACCACCTTCCACTTCCAAGTGAGGATTGATTGGCTCCGGTTCCCTAAAGATATATGAGGCCCAGCGCCATTAGAACTATGGAGAATTCTTGGAGTAGGGGTACTACTAATGACGGTATCGGTGACTCTCCAATATCGTAGCAGGTTGAAGATAAACAATCAATATTTTGTAGAATTTTGGGTTGAAATCGGTTGCGGATTTGTCGGCAGCCAACTGATTTTTATCTTTATGACGGAGAATATGTCCAGTTGTATCGTAAACGGGTAGTAGAACTTGTACTTGATATCGTTAGCAATTTATTGGGATATAGTCATTTATTCTACAAGTGTTTGGGTAAGGGAATATTCCGTAATCCCGAGATGTGGCTCTTTGCCAGCTTCGCGTCCGACTGACGGGCTTTGGATGCCAGCTCCCGGGGCACACCCCATCATGGCACTTGTTTCGCCTTTTCAAACTATTTTTTTTTGTACAGAGTTTACTAATTAATTTGTGCCCGGTTGTTGTACGATTGTTGCTGATTTCATTCCATTTTCGTTTATATGTCATTTTAGCTTTGTCTGGCACATGGTAGTACTAGTACTAGCTACCTAGTGCCTCCCTTTCGCTCGTATTGTCGCGAATCCTCGTCGGGGTTTTGGGTTCCGCTGATTTCGCTTGATTAACAGATTGTTTACGTATTTGAATTGCTTTCGCATGTATTCCAGATTCACCTGTCTATTGAATTGCCGTTTTGTTGGTTGTCTCTATTTTTATTTCTCTTATTTAGCTGTTGTTGTTGTTCTGCCTGAGCGGATCCAATGGCTGGGAAACTGGCGGGCGGCGGCTATCAAATTATGTCAATCGTTTTCGCGCTCGAGTGAACCAAACCTATCTGCCAGTTTCAGATGTATCTGAAGCACCTAAGAATTCCGCAGAGAAACTTTAGATATTCCAAATAAAATAAAATAACTATGGGACACTTTTTGTTCTTTAACTTCAATGTGGAGGTATATCCCCCACTTAATAATAAAGTTATAAATAATATCCAATAAATACCTGAAACATATACCAACAAACTCGTGTCCAATTAGAAACTTGTAATTAGTCAATTACCCGCTGTCTTTGGTAGAAGTCAAACAATAAAAGTTTAATAAATTTTCTAGAATATATCGCCTTTGTTGTTAAGCCAGTTATCAGTATAGTTAGTTACCTGTAATTCCTAATTGCTAAGATTACATTTCCAGGGCGATATTAAAGCCGGTAAAAATGTGGTTTGCTTTGAACATGGTCTAGAACATGTACCCAATAAGATTTGAAGAAAAGATAGAAATTCCCGAAATGTAAACTATTGTTTTGAATAGTATAACGCCATTGGAATAATCAAAAAACCTAATTACTTATGAACGTGCCATCTTATCTTCCCGGAAAGAACTGAGTATTGTTTTCTGTGTGTAATTCCCAATTATTTAGATTATATTACCAAGATTCTTATCCAAAAACAACACAAATATACACAGAATTGAAAGCCTATATGGGTGATATTTTGTCGACTAAGTGAATTCGCCTCAAGTGCCATTTGTCTGGGACGAGGAACTTATTTATCGAGCACTGTCACTGTCAGACAGCCAAATGTTGTCCAAGAAATCCATAAAATCAGTGTGAACTTCTATTAATACCCACTAATCGTTCCCACTTAATCTCGATTACGGCCAATTATGAATGTAATCGCTTGGCCAATACGGATGAAACAGGCCATAGGCCCCCCTTCTCGGTAGCCCCGTAAGTACCTGTCACATTACGTGATTATGTGTCCCGGGGCTCTCTGATAACTCAATACTTGTGATAAGCCTCCTGAAATCCGTCCGAAAATCCATCGGCACGTATAAAATTGCTACTGCCATTGTCCGGCGAATTAGTTGGTCTCCGTACGGCACGCGGCAGTAATACTACGGGATATTTTCTTTACGGAAAAATAATTAATTCAAAATGAAGGAAAATAAAGCGTGGCCAGAAGAAGATGTTAGTAGTCTTTATAAAAATTAAATTAAATTAAAAATGAAAAATTTGCATATGTTTGTGAGAGTGTTGGGTGCCCCTTTGGGGACTTGGGGCCATTAAACAAAGAGAGCTGTGTTTTCTCTTCGATTCTTCCCTCTCCCGTTTTGGAGACCCGATCTCCTGCTCGAGAGCGGAAATTTATGCCATGTCGCAGCTCATCTGATCGGAGGCCCGCCAGCTGGCGGCAACTCGAACACAACAAGTCGGCAGCTCGATGGCTGCAGTTGTGCCTCCACTCGACTTCCAATTGGAATAGCTCTTCAGTGGCATAGCAATCGAGATTCTCAAACACCTACGACATTAAAAACTAAAAAAAAAAATAAGGAAAAAGAACTTTCAGTTTATTTTCATTCAGATGTGCTATTAAACGTGCGAGTGCCAAACTATTTGTGCCTGCCGGTGGTTGGACAAGTGCAAGTGCTTTTCTTCCCAAGAAGCAGTTCTTAGTTTGTAGCAGGTTGAAAAGGTGAGGTGAAGACTGGCTCAGAAGACTGGCCGTGGAGAAGAAAAGAATACAAAAAAAAACAGTTGCCAGGCTTCCTTCTTCGATTCTTTTCAACAAACAACCGCAAGTGCAGCCGCAACTTCCTTTTCTCTTCGGCAGGTTATTGACTCAAAGCCCTTGCAGCGTGTCGCATTTTATGTGTATTTATGTTTGAATGCCGTCTGCATCTGCATCTTTGGCTGCATTCCCTATCTTAAGATACAAATGTATCTGTATCTGTGCCTTTAACTGTGTCGGTGATTGTTTTCATTCTCAACTTCGTTATTGTCCCGTTGCGTTTGTCGGCGGCTTAGTCCAAACAAATGTGGTTCTTGTCACAAGACTATGGGGATCTTTTACTTTTTCTAATGATTGTTGCACTTGAGAAGGTATATACTTTATAGTTTTTGTTTTTAGGGAAATTAGGTATAATTTCAAAATAATTTATTTTTAAACTATTACCCAGTATTTAAAAAACTATGCCTCTTTTACAAGCATCTTAGTACCTTAAAGCCATCTTTGTAATATGTTTGACAAACAAATCTTAAATGTTTACTTTCAAATAGGTATCACTTAGTCCATAAACTTAAAACTTGTTTGTCGATCTCGCCGGTTGTTGTTCTTGTCACAGTTGATTGCCGACGCCTCTGCGGATTCAACGTTTGTTTTGGGCCCTGTCTTTAAATAGTTTTCTTCTTTCTTCCAATAATATTTTTGTTTTCTTTTGCGGCCCTTTATTTGGGGGGTTATTAAGTAGGCGTGGCTCCCACACAGAGCGTTCCTTGAGAATGTTTTTGTTTGCTTCTCCACCGCCGTGAAGTGATTAGTCCCATCGATAAGCCACTCGGTTGGAAAAAAAAACGATGAAGGAGGGCATTTGTTTTTGCTCGTCGTTAATCGCAGGTCACCGAGAAGTCAGTGGAAAATGGGTCGCTGTCGTGCTGCAATCCAAATGCTATTTTGTGTGCACTTGCGGAAAGCGAAAATAAAAACAAGAACCCTGCCTCTTAATTGCCTCACCAGACAGACGAACATTTCTTGGCCACCCAACCCACCGCCACCCGCCGTTGATCTTGTTTTGTTTTTAGGACACTCTCTAGGCATAAGTTCTCGTTTTAGTGACCATTAGTCTTAAAATCTACATATTCCGAGGAGCTTTATGGGCTTTAGATGTTTCAAATAGCTATTCCCTGCGATTCATTATCCATAGAGTATTTACGATTCGTTACAAAGCAAACAGAACCCAGTTTTGTTATTAAATATTTCCCACACAACCAAAAATACAAAAACAACGCTCTGTGGCATCACATGTGTGAACATTAAAACCATAATATGTATTATAGCCTCTGCTGGCTATAAATAAGAATGAAATTTCCCTCAAAAAATTACAAAAAGTTATGTGACTCGTTCAGAGACGATTATTTGCCTCGGATATTTGCTCGATTTGTTAGATTTTTCAAATTTAAATATGGGCTCATTGTTTATTTCTTTAGAGCTGCATTATTTCAATGTCGTTTGGAAAAGTTGCCTCTGGCCTGTCGTTATTTTCTTTTCGAAATTTTCAAATTTTTAAAGGCTAGAACCAGCTTTTATTTGAGGTTGATGCTCAGCGAATGGTCAGCAGATGTTTTCCGGTCTGCAAATGTTGATATTTTGTTTCTGTTTACATAGTCAAGGCGAGTTTTCCCAGCTAATCTTGTATTGAAAATTTATTTCAAAAGTCGTCAGTCCTCAAGATTTCTGTACTTGTTCCCATTTCCTGTCCACTTAAAGCTTCACAGTTCCGATAAGTACTATCTGAGGCAAGATGCTTTGAATATATAATCTTTGTGGCTGAGATTCGATAAAGAGCTCCATTCATCGTACTAGAGCCCCGTCCATTGTGGTTTTTGGGTGATGGGCTATCACGATTGATTTCTTCAATAGCTGGATTCTGCTTTAATTTTTTGTCTGACAGCTTAAAGTTGCTCGCACTCGCTTATCACGGCACCTAATTATTTAATCGACACTTGAGTCTGAAGTGGCAGCATTAGCCCAAGAACTTAACCCCTAACCCTATCGGAAGAGTGTGAAAAATGATTAGCTTTGCTGGTGACGTGATCCACACAAATCCCTCCGAGCTTTATCAGACGAGTGCGTCATCGCTGGGCACTCGATCATTTAAATCAATTAGTGGAGTGCATTGCCACTTTCAAATGGGTGACCAACTACATGAGCATTATTTTGTCCACTTTCAGCACAAAATGAAATCAAAGTACGAGAACATGAAGATCATCTACAATCGGAGCAAAATCGGCTGGTACTGGGCACCCTTGTTCGTGTCCTTCTGGTTCGTGCTCTTCTATGTGGTGGTCATACCCGCCTTCCACCGCATGCCTCCGCTCAAGACCCAGGAGGATGAGCTTCAGCAGCCGGGCCAGTTCATCGGGGAGCGGGCGGAGAACACCCTACTGCGGCTATCCAAGATCGGACCCAAGGTGGTGGGCAGTCCAACCAACGAACAGGTGGCCGTCCAGTTCCTGCTGAATGAAATCTCTGACATAATGGAGGAGTCTCGCGGGGACTTGTATGACATTGAAAAGGATGTGCAGATAGCCTCTGGCAACTACCTCCTCTGGTCCATGGTGAATGTCTACCAGAGTATCCAGAATGTGGTGGTCAAGCTGTCGCCGAAAAACGCCACCAGCGAGGCAGCTCTCCTAGTCAACAGTCACTTTGATTCCGTTCCGGGCAGCTCAGGAGCAGGTGATGCCGGCATGATGTGTGTCATAATGTTGGAGGTACTCCGGGTGATCGCCAAGAACGAGACGCCGCTAACCTACTCGGTGGTGTTCCTTTTTAATGGAGCCGAAGAGAATCCTCTACAGGGCAGCCATGCCTTCATTACCCAACACCCTTGGGCCAAAAATGTGAAGTGAGTTTTTTAATTTATACACAAACTATTATTTATTAACTTTATATTCCACAGAGCTGTCATAAATCTGGACTCAGCTGGCAGTGGAGGACGTGAAATTCTCTTTCAATCTGGACCCGATAACCCCTGGCTTATGAAGGTAAGTCTGATACATTAAATACGACTATCTTTATAAACTTTATCATGACTTTCTACTTAGTATTATGGAAAGAACATAGTTCATCCGTTTGCCTCCACTATCGGAGAGGAATTGTTCCAGAATGGCTTTGTTCCCTCGGAGACCGATTATCGCGTGTTTCGTGACTTTGGCGAAATACCAGGTAATATAAAAATTAATGTGAAAATCAGCTAATCGCTCATACATTGTTTTCGGTTTAGGTCTCGATATGGCGCAAACTTTGAATGGCTATGTTTATCACACAAAATACGATAGGTTTAATCTCATCCCGCGACGAACCTACCAACTAACTGGCGAGAATATCTTGGCTCTGGTCAAGGCTTTGGCGAATGCCGAGGAACTGGAGAATCCTTCGGTAAGTGGGTTGTTCTTTAGAGAGTTTTCATCTAAAATTTAATTTTATTGTTTTATTTTTAGGATCATGCCGAGGGTCATATGATATTCTTTGATGTTCTGGGGTGGTTCTTTGTCTATTATCCTGAGAGCACTGGCGTCATCATAAATATATCCGTGTGTGTCCTGGTTTGCATCACCATTGTGGGCTACATTTGGATCATGTCCAGTAGCACGGGCATGTTCCGGCGTCGCATTTGGGCCAAGTTTGGAATTCTGGCGGCCCTTCAAGTGACAGGTGTGGCCCTGGGCATTGGTCTGGTCATGTCGATTGCCTTGTTCTTGGATGCCGTAAATCTTCCCATGTCTTGGTTCGCCCAGAACTGGATGCTGTTTGGCTTATACTTTTGTCCCATGATTTTTGGAATGGGCATTGTACCAGCTATTTATTTCAGTAGGACTAAGGAGGTGAGATCTGTTACAGTTTTGTGAAAAATTATTCTAAAACTTGTTCCTTTCCAGCATGGTCTTCCCTTAGGCTATGGCATACAGTTGCTAATGCACTCGCACTGCTTGATTCTGACCATAATCACTATTGTGATGGTCAGCTACGGTATACGATCGGCTTTTATTTTAATGCTTTGCATTAGTTTTTATACTCTCTCCGTATTGATCAACATGGCCACTAAAGCTCACAAGACAAGTAAGTTATTAATGGAATATATGGGTTTTTGATTTTTAATTACATGATGTCCTTTTTTCAGACTTCCTCTGGCTCATTCCGCATTGCATTTGCCAGATCCTGCCTTTTATGTTCTACACCTACTGTTGTTATGCCTTTTATGTGGTCTTTGTGCCAATGCAGGGACGAGAATGCAATACCAATCCCGAGATCCTCATGGGTTTCTTCACGGCTCTGATGGTTCTGTTGTTTGCGCCCTTCCTAGTGCCTTTGTTCTGCCTGTTCCGCAAATCGAAGACAATTATTTCGTTGTTTGGAATTTGTACAATAGTGTTTATTATTTTGGCCGCCACACCAGTGGGCTTCCCATATGCCGAAAAGACAGCAGCACAACGATTCTATGCAGTGGTAAGTGGATATTAAAGCTACCATTTCCTTAGAATATTTATTAATTTATTACAATTAAAGCACACGTCCCGTACCTTCCGGGATGGTGACCCATCAAGCACGGTTGCCCATACGGACTCCGGTTACTTTGTTCTTCCTGTTGATCGACGTCCTCATACAGTGGACGATATCCTATTCGAGGCAACCAACTACACCAAGTCGGAGCGCATGTCCTGCGACTCTGAGATTATGTGTGGCTATCCTATTTATAGTTCCAGATGGCTCAATGCAGTGTAAGCTAGAAAAAAGATTTTAACTTCAAGTTTTTCCATCTAATCGCTTTCTAAACCTACAGAGATAATAGCTACTTTGTGCCTGGTCCAGAACCCAATAAGGGATATATTCCAACACTACAAATTTTGGACAAGTCAAGCAAATCTGCCACCCACATAAAGTTCAATTTGGAAATCTCTGGACCTGACCACATCAGCATGTTTATACAGCCGCTAAATGGCAGTAGACTAGTAGACTGGTCTTTCACCAGAAAACCTTTGGATGAAAATGTGAAGCCTCCATATTATGTTTACTGGTCGTATGCTTTGGATCCCACGCCTTTGCAGTTTAGTCTGGAGTTCGAGGTAAATATTATAAAGTAATATTAAAGCTTGAAATTTCTAATAAAATCTTCAACTACCCCACAGCACGACGATCCTGATTGGTCAGGAAACACTTTTAAAGTGGCTCTGATGGGTCACCGAATCCACGATGATATGTACGTAACGGATGACTTCCGGCAGTTCCTGGCCACATTTCCGCCCTGGGCGCACGTCAGCTCCTGGCTTGGTTCCTACAACAGTTGGCAGCTCTAGATCTAGGCCGAAAGTCAAGCCACTTACTCAACTCCAACCCATTGTTGCCATGACACCTCAGCTACTGTTATCTTTGGTATTAAACTACATTATTTCGACGACTACCCCTAATCCAACGAACAAAGTGTCAGTTCCCATGTCACATCTTAGCTTGTAATTCTGATTAAGACCAGTGTAGTTACTACTTTGTAATTTGTAATAAAATATTATATTTATTTATTAAGATCAAATCTGGAATCTGTTAGAAGTTCCAGCTCTCGAGGGCCGAGAACCAGTCGGTGGTGTAGGTCCAGTCGGGGAAGGTGACCAGGAATGCCTTATAGTCCTCGGTGTAGTACTCTTGATGGTACAGGAAGTGTTCAACGACCACCAGCTTAAAGTAAGGTCCTTCGGTGTTACTCTCATCATGTTCGAACTCAATCCAAAAATCGAAGGGATCTTCGGTTTGGGAGTACACATGGTAGATCAGAAAGGGCGGCAAGTGCTCCTCGATCAGCGGTGTCTGATCCATGGACCAGTTGGCGACTCTGACCTGGTCGTAGGGCTCTATGTACATCATTATACGATCGCTGGCCTTAAGGCTGAAATCGTATTTCAACTTGTTGTCTGTTTGTTCCTTTGAAACCAGGGTGAGATCTATGTCAATTGGAAACTGGGGTGCTGAACTGTAAATCCAACGAGCAGAGTCCCTAGCAAAATAATAAACTTGGTTAAATTAAAGTCTTTTTTGATGGGCTATCCACTCACTTCCAGTCATTCCAACGACCACTGTAGATCGGCAAGCCGCAGTAGGGCTCGGCAGCACAGGTGGCATCTGTCCAGCTACTTGGCTCTGCGTTCTTCAACGTGGTGTCATCCAGTTCATGGGTACGAGTTTCCACGGGTTGAATGTAGAAACCAGAATCCTGGAGGGTACTGCCATCCAAATTGTGAAAGATACGTTGGGTGTGCTACAAAAATCAATAATAATAATCTTTAAGAAACTGAGCAGCAATTTATAAACCTACCAACACATAATAACGCTGTGGAGCTACTTCCTTGACGAAGGGAAATCCTGCTGGAGTGGCTGCCAGGATAATAAAAATAATCGTAATCACACCAAACGTGGAAAATACGATTTTGGGTTTGCGGAACTTGTGCATAATGGGTACCTTTAAAGTGTAACAATTTAAGTATTTAAATTCTTAAAAATTATTTGCTATCTTACCGTAAAACCACCATATTGGATTCCAGTTATAATCACAAAAAGAGACACTAGGAGCTCTGGACTGCTGTCTGGACCATCGCGACCTTGCATGGGCACAAAGGTTAGCAGGGAGGCATAGGCGATGTAGGTGTAGAACAGGAAGGGCAGAAACTGGCAGAGCAGGTGAACAGTCACAAAGTAGCTTTCTAAAATAGAAAAAAATACATTAGTATGTCTACTTTAAATCAGAACACTTGATGTAACCCACTTTTAACCGTCAGCTTCAGAGTAATTTGAATCAGAACAGATATGGCGTAGAAAAAGATTCCAATCATGAAGAAGTAGCTGGAACGGATTCCCATGCTGGTCAGTATAATACACAGCAGGGCCAGAAGGATGCAATGAGCATGCATGAAGCAGGCTATGGTCTGATCCAGCTTCATGTGGGTCTTCCTCTTAGTCCATTGGATATAGAAAGCAGGCAGCAGCCCCAAGGCAAAGTACAGGGTGCAGAAGTACAGTCCGAACGCCATCCATTTGCCGTAGTACCAGGACTCTGCCAATCCCACTCCTTGCATGAACACAGCCACCAGAAGGGTGAGGCCACAGGCCACGACAGCCGTTCCCAACTGGACCAGGAAGATCAGGCCAAATCGCTTTATCACCGCCTTTAGAGGATCGGCTCCATTGTCCAGGGTCATGATGTAGAGCGAGGATCCAATGCAGAGGAGCGCCGCCACGGAGACCACTATGTTGATGGCCACACTCACTGAGGTGGTGTAGGTGAGCATAAACCAGCCCAAGAAGTCAAAGTAAACCATGTGGCCCTCTGCGTGAGCCTCGGTGTCATCTAGCTCGGGCGCATTGGCCAAGGTCCAGACCAGGGGCAAGACATTCTCGCCCGTAGACTGATACGTTCCCCTCTCCACGTTCCGGTAGTTGTCGTATTGGGTGTGATAGACATACCCATTTACAACGCTGGCCATGTCCAAGCCAGGCACTCCTCCGTAGTCGCGGAACACGCGAAAGTCGGTATCCGAGGGTATAAAGTTATTCTGGAACAATTCTTCAGCCAAGGTCTGGGCATATGGATGGGGGACACTCTGTTGGTAGTATTTGGCCAACCAGGGATGGTTAGGTCCAGTCTGGAAGAGCACTTCGCGTCCTCCAGCACCAGTGGAATCTAGATTGACCAGTGCTCTGAAAAGAGATGATTTTAATATGGTTCAAAAAATGCATTTATGGAGAATTCATCCACAAATCTTTTGGGGTATTTCGTTAAAGAATCGGGTAAATATTGACAAAGATATGGCTATCGCAGGGCGACCCATAGGGCTCCCCATGCATTTTCCACATTTTGAAGGGGACATCCCAGAAAATTTGACAAAAAATCTTAAAAATATTTTGTTACCAGATTTTGATGCAGATTTATGGAGAATCGATCTACAAATCGTTTAAGGTATTCCGCTCAAGAATCGGATAAATGTTGACAAAGATATGGCTATCGCAGGGCGACCCATAGTGCTCCCCATGCATTTTCCACATTTTTAAGGGGACATCCCAGAAAATTTGACAAAAAATCTTAAAAATATTTCGTTCCCAGATTTTGATGCAGATTTATGGAGAATCGATCTACAAATCGTATAAGGTATTCCGCTCAAGAATCGGATAAATGTTGACAAAGATATGGCTATCGCAGGGCGACCCATAGTGCTCCCCATGCATTTTCCACATTTTGAAGGGGACATCCCAGAAAATTTGACAAAAAATCTTAAAAATATTTTGTTCCCAGATTTTGATGCAGATTTATGGAGAATCGATCTACAAATCGTTTAAGGTATTCCGCTCAAGAATCGGATAAATGTTGACAAAGATATGGCCATCGCAGGGCGACCCATAGTGCTCCCCGTGCATTTGCCACATTGTGAAGGGGACATCCCAGAAAATTTGACAAAAAATCTTAAAAATATTTTGTTCCCAGATTTTGATGCAGATTTATGGAGAATCGTTCCACAAATCGTTTAAGGTTCAAGAATCGGATGAATATTTCCTAAGATATGGCCTACGCAGTAGGTCATATGGGGCTCCCCATGCTTTGCCACATTTTGAAGGGGCCAGCGCAGAAAATATGACAAAAAATCTAAAAAATAGTTTGTTCCAGGATATTGATGCAGATTTACGGAGAATCTATCTAGAAACCGTACACCGTATTCCGAAAAAAATTTGGATTCATATTTGGTAAGATACGGGCTTCGCAGGAGGTCATTTTATCCTTTCCATACTTACTTGCAATTTTTGGCCCATTTGTGCTGGGTAATGAATCCATGGGCGCCCAGCATGCAGGCTTCTTCGGCGCCATTAAAGAGGAAAACAACTGGGTGGATCAGAGGCTTTTCAGAGCGCGAAATGACCCGTAGGGTCTCGAGCATTATCACCACCATGGCACCATCATCACCAGCGGCGGGTGTTTCCACCTCGGAGTCGTAGTGCGAGTTTACCAACACATAGTTTTCGTTGTTCGAGGTCTTCTGGGAAATTTTGACCACCACATTCGACAGATTAGTGTAGCTCATGGTCATGCCCCAAAGAAAGAAACCGCCGGAAGAATATTGCTTCTCCACTTCGATATCGTAAAGATCCGTTCTCGCCTCATCTTTGATCTTTTGGATTTCTCGTAGCAGGAAATTGACGGTGTGCACTTCATTGTTGATAGATCCAGCCAGTTTGTAGCCAATAGCCGAAAACTCGGCAAGCTGTGTCATTGCCCTTTCGCCTATGAACTCATCCGGATGTAGTGCCTCCTCACTCCGGTAGAGCATCTTCGGGTAGCTATTGAAACTGGGCAGCACGGTGACATAGAAAATGGCAAATAAAGCTGCCGCGTAGACTGGGGCTCCAAACCAGGGCCATTTCTTGTCTCTGGACTTTTCAGCATCCTGATCGGTTGTGATATCGACGCTGGAAAAGGTCATCTATAAATTTGAAGAATAAATACATACATATTTATTATAGTTTTTGTTAAAACCCTAATTATACTTTTCAGCGTGAAAATATTTATGCAAAGATTGCATACTTCTTGGCGACTTAATTTCTTGTATACTTTTCCAACAGGAATAACATTCTTTTCTTGAATTTAATTTCTTTTTTTAGAATTTCCGACGTTAGTATAAGGAAAGGTTGTAAAAAAATTACCACTCCCGATAGAGCACTTCACTTTATTGGTTAAACTATTGAAATAGCAACAATTAATTGGTCTAAAAACAGCGTTCAATAATATAGTATATGTACAAGAAGGTTTTAATTTATAGCCGATATAAAGATTCTTATCGCGTTGGATACTTGAAAGCTTTTAAAAAAAACAGGGAATAATTTTCATTTATCTGGACTCGATCTATAGAATAAATTTCACTTATCACTTATGGTATAATTCATTTTGAAAACACTGTCACTTTGGATAAAAACCAAGACCCTGACCTTTAGATAGCACGTTAACCTAAATTCAAAATTTAGAACTAAACACAACCGCTCCACAGGCCCACCTTCGGCAAACTGAGACTCCTTCGTATTGCTCCCAAGAATTAAGTAGGGCCAACTAATAGGACCACTTCGTGGATGGCTTATCGCTTGAACCCCGGCGATAAAAATTAAATGTTATGATTATAATCTTCGGTTTTTGCCACATAAAACGATTACATCCCGCGATAGGTGATAAAGACGGTACCTGCCGAATGCCAGAAGCCGATTCTCTTTATTGCCCTTTATAGATTATCGCCTCTGTCGGCAAATACCTTACCGTGGGGTCCAAAATATATAAATTCCACTAGCTGTATAATTAACTGACATATAATTAAAACACCTGATATAAAACATAAATATTTATTATCATACTTCTTATCGGGGAATATAAATTAAAACTAAAATATGGGATTTTAGTTCAAGTATTTACTTTATTTAATTTGTCTATTAAATTAAAGATAATAACTCTGTTAGAAAATAAAACTCTCTAACGCTGCAAACCAGTCAGTTGTATAAGCCCAGTCGGGAAAGGTGGCCAAGAATTTCGTGTATTCATCGGTGTAGTATTCCTGATGATATAGAAAGTGTTCCACGATTACCAACTTAAAGAAAGGTCCCTCGGCGTTATCATCCTCGTTTTCAAGTTCTATCCAAAAGTTGAATGCCTCCTCGGTTTGGGCGTATATGCGGAAAACTAGATAGGGCGGAGCGAGCTTATCTTCAAGAGGGGTTTTGTCTAAGGACCAGTCAGTGATGGTGACCTTGTCAAAGGGGTCTAAATACATAATAACACGATCGCAGGCCTTCAAGCTAAACTCGTAGCGCCATTTTTTGTCTGCCACCTGCTGCTTTGATATCAAGGAAAGGTCTTTGAAAATTGGAAGAGCGGGTGACGAGCTGGAGATCCATCGGGCAGAGTCCCTGCAGAGGAAATAGTGGATTTGGAATCTATATATATAAGATTCTAAACTTACGTCCAGTTTATCCAACCCCGTCTGTAGACTGGCAAACCACAGTAAGGCTCTGCGGCACAGGTGTCATCCATCCAATTCTGTAATTCTGCATTCTTGAACGTGGTGTCGTCCAGTTCATGGATGCGGGTCTCCTCCGGTTGAATATAAAAACCAGAATCCTGTGTAGTGCTGCCATTTAGATTATGGAAAGTTCGCTGAGTGTGCTATAAGAATCAATTAATAAAATATTTGTTAACCATATTTTTCTTAATAATCTTACCACAGATTAGTAACGCTGAGGGGCCACATCTTTTGCAAAAGGAAATCCCGCAGGAGTGGCTGCCAGGATAATAAAAATAATCGTAATCACGCCAAACGAAGAAAATATGATCTTTGGTTTTCGAAACTTGTGCATAACAGGAACCTGAAAGAAATAGTTTTAGATAGGTTTAATTTAAGGTTTTATCTTTTAAAACTAACCGTAAAGCCTGCATACTGAATTCCAGATAGGATGATAAACAGAGAGATCATAAAATCCGGACTACTATTGGGACCATCGCGACCCTCCATGGGCACGAAAATTACAAGGATTGCATAGCAGAGATAAGTGTAGAAGAGAAACGGCAGGATTTGGAAAATTAAATGCACAGTCACGAAGTAGCTTTCTGAAAAAATATAAAACTATAGTGTGAACTTAAGGAAAATGGTTAAAAAAACTTACTTTTCACAGAAAGTTTTAAAATAATTTGCACTAGTACGGATATAGAGTAGAAAAAGATTCCAATCATGAAGAAGTAGCTGGAGCGAATGTTCAAACCAGTGAGGATAATGCAGAGTAATACCAGAAGGATGCAGTGGGCATGCATGAAGCAGGCTATGGTCTGATCCAGCTTCATGTGGGTCTTCCTCTTTGTCCACTGGATATAGAAAGCAGGAAGCAATCCAGTGGCAAAGAACAGGGGGCAGAAGTATAGTCCAAAGGCCATCCACTTGCCATGGTACCAGGACTCTGCCAATCCCACTCCTTGCATAAACACAGCCACCAAAAGGGTGAGGCCACAGGCCGCGAAAACAGTTCCCGCCTGGACGAGGAAGATCAGACCAAATCGCTTCATCACCGCCTTTGGAGCATCGGCTCCATTGTCCAGGGTCATGATGTAGAGCGAGGTTCCAATGCAGAGGAGCGCCGCCACGGAGACCACAATGTTGATGGCCATACTCACGGATGTGGTATAGGTGAGCATAAACCAGCCCATGAAATCGTAGAACACCATATGGCCTTCCTCATTAGCCTCGATGTCATCCAGTTCGGGGGCATTCGCCAAGGCCCAAACCAAGGGCAGCACATTGTCGCCCGTAGACTGATAGGTTCCCCGCTCCACATTTCGGTAGTTGTCATACTTAGTGTGGTAGGCGTAACCATTTACCACGCTGGCCATGTCCAGTCCAGGAACTCCTCCAAAGTCCCGAAAAATACGAAAGTCTGTATCAGAAGGAATGAAGTTGTTCTGGAAGAGCTCTTCCGCCAGAGTCTGGGCATAAGGATGGCGGGCACTTTGCTTATAGTACTTGGCCAGCCAGGGGTGATTGGGTCCAGTCTGGAAAAGGACCTCGCGTCCTCCAGTGCCTGTAGAGTCGAGGTTCACCAGAGCTCTGCAGTTTTTGGCCCATTTATGCTGGGTTATGAATCCATGGGCTCCCAAGAGACGAGCCTCTTCGGCTCCATTGAAAAGGAAAACCACTGGATGGTTAAGGGGCTTCTCAGAGCGAGAGATCACGCGAAGGGTTTCCAGCATGACCACCACCATGACGCCGTCATCTCCAGCCGCCGGACTTTTCATCTCTGAATCGTAGTGGGAGTTCACCAGCACATAGTTTTCGTTATTTGAATCCTTTCGGGAGATCTTTACCACCACATTGGAAAGGTTTTCATAGCTATTGGCGAAGCCATAGAGATAGAAGCCTCCGGTATAGAGCTGCTTCTCTACCTCTATATCATAGAGATCCGAGCAAGCTTCGTCTTGTACTTTTTGGATTTCACGCAGAAGAAAGTTCACTGTATGGACTTCGTTATTAATAGATCCGGCTGGCTTGGGGCCAATGGAAGAGAGCTCTGCCAGCTGCTTCATCGCTCGCTCGCCTATGAACTCATCTGGATGCAGTGCCTCCTCGTTTTGGGAGAGCATCGCCGGGTAGCTGTTGAAACTGGGTAGAACGGCAGCATAGAAGAGTGCAAAAAAGGCGGCAGCATAGATAGGAGCTCCAAACCAGTGCCATTTCTTGTCCCTGGCGCCCTTTGCGCCATCCTTGTCGGCTGTGATATCAACGCTGGAGAAGGTCATCTGGAAAATGTATTTTTAATTATTCACGAAACCTTTAACAGCCAGTTAACAGTCGATTGCTGATTAAATCAGACATAATCTTAAATTATGTCATGGGAATTTTCAATTAAGTGGAGGCTATTTTTAAATAGCTAACCATATTGATTTGATTCATGGAGGAGCGTAAAATGTGTGACTCTGCGACGTTGCCCGAAGGCCTCAGCATGCGGAACTGAGTTTTTGTTTCAATTTTAAAATTATTTCAGGTCTGTGTGTACCCCGTAGATCTATTAAAGCCTCCCTAGATAGTTTTCCTCTACCAGCTGATTAGTAGATGTTTATTTTTGATGATCCAACACAAATTGTCATTCACATTGAAATTATTTCTTCTGAACAGTCTCAAAGCTTATTTTATAGATAATGAATGATGACTATAATGAATGATCCCCATGCCTTTAAAATTTTTAAATTATATTACTAGTATAGGAATTTTAAAACACACACTCGAGAGGCAACCGCACCGTAACTCAATCTCCTTAGAACTAAGCCTGCTCTCAAGAATATCAGCTTCATGGATCATTTATTGCTCAAAATTGTGCGATAATATGATTTTAATCTTTTTTTTTTTCTTTGGTACTAAAAACGATAACATATACTGATAAGAGAAACCACCTGCTGTCCCCTGCACCCTGAAAAGGTCTCTAGAAGTAAAGTTAGACCGTTTTTTGCGTATTCTTTTACATTTTAAAACTTTTGGTACCTATTCAATACTATTTTTTAATATAAATAATTTAAAAAAAACACCCCTATCTTATAACATAAACTGGCACCTAACTGTCAGGGGTTTATCAACTTCGGCTCCGCCTGAAGGAAGCTTTCTTTTCTTGTCTAATCTTATGTTGGCCAATAAATTGTGCGAGAGCCAAAGTCCTTCTCTAAATATGACAGTTCTACACTTACGCTTTTTAAAATTAAAATTTTAATCAAAACGCTTTCATATTACCCGCTAAGCCTAAAGGATTAACTACTGTAAAAGCTTGATAAATAATATCAAATAAGCCATTCGATGTGACATCGATGTGGCGCAATCAATCATAATTTTCCATTCATATTTGTTCCAAAAAGATATCGAATTGTCTCAATATTTGTCTGTTTCTTTACTTAACAATAATAAAATCTACATATTTTCATAATCTAGTAGATCCAGCTCTCAAATGAAGCCGGCCATGGTGTGGCATCTGTGTATTTAGGGAAACTGTCAAGGAATTTCTTAAAATCAGGTGTCAACATGTCCTTGTGGTGGGTCCAGTGTCCTCCCAGGCCTAGCTCCAGAGTGGAGGAGTTGAAGTTTCCATTGGGTTTCTAAAAATTTTAATATATAATATGGATTCAAAAGGTTTAATGAATAACCTACCTCTAGTTCTATCCAGAACTTGAGGGGATCTCCATTGACACCCCAGGAGAAGTAAATGAAGTAGGGCGGGTCAAATCTCAAACGCAAAGGAGCCTGGAATTCATAAATATTTAACTAAGATTTCATTCAATATATATTTAATAATAACTCACCTGATGGAAGGACCAGTTTGTGATAAAAGCTCCATTCAAAGGCTGAACAAAAACAGCCATGTGATTGGGACCAGTTAATGTCATGTCATAGCGAATCTTTGTGGCGGAAAGTTCTTTCTTGGAGATCACCTTGACGGTTGGCAGATCATCGCCCAGAATTGGCTCCGAGGCGGGAATCCATAAGCTGTTCTTTCTGTAATAATTATTGAAACAAGAGTTTTTCCAATGCCATTTTTTTTGTAATATTAAAACTTACCTAGTTTTGTGCCAACGCTGGTTGTATAAGGGAAGCCCACAATTGATTTCCTTTTCGCAATCATCTCCAATTCTTTGGGCAAGAGTCATGTTGATAACATCATCTAAAATATATTAAATTATTGATTTTTTCTTTCCTATAAATATAAAGTAATAACCCACTTTTAACGGTGTAAGTGCGTCTGTCCTGGGGCATGATGAAGTAACCGGATTCTTGGCGACGAATTTTGTTGTCGGCGTCATGGAAAGTACGCTTGGCGTGCTAAAGATAAAAAATAGACAAATTATATACATTTGCAAATAAAATTAGCACAATTTCTAACTTACCAGAACTGCGAAACGCTGAACATTGGTCTCCGGGCGATAGGGGAATCCAGCGGGAGTTAGTGCAATGATAAAGCAAATCGCGGTAATGCCGAGCAGACCACAGATGATTGTCTTGGATTTGTTGAACAACTGCAGGACTGGGAGGATAAAGCCGCAGCAGAGGAAGCCAACAGCTACGCTGAAAATAGCCACGGCCAAATCCGGGTTAAGATTCTCCCCGAAGCGACCGAACATGGGAATAAAAGTGGTAAAGAATCCGTGCGAGAAATAGGCAAAGAAAACAAAGGGCGGAATAAGGCAAACAATGTGAGGAATGACCCAGGCGACATCTGTAAAGGACATCAAGAAAAGGTTAATAAATATTAAAAATGTATATCCATATTTATCCAACCTTTGCTGTGCAGTTTGGTGGCAATGTTGACGATCAGACCCACAGTGTAGAACAGACAGCTCAGAGTCAGAACGAAAACAGAACGGATGCCACAAATGGTGAATATCAGAGTAAGAATAGCCAAAAGCAAGCAATGGCAGTGCAGCAAGATCTGAACTCTCTGGCCGATGGGCAGCTTGTCCTGAAAACGTTTATATATATTATTTAAATCTCATTTCCCATCTATAGTCTCTTTTACTTACAAACTTGGTCCAGTGGAAGTACATAGCTGGCACAATGGCAAATCCAAAGAAAAAGGTGGTGAAGTATAGGCCCAAGATGAGCCAAGAGTTCGAGAACCAGGACATTGGCAGATGTACAGCGTCCATGAACAGACCCAGAAGAACTGGTATAATAGCCGACACCAGTACAGACAGCAAGTTCACAAAGAAAGTGTGCAACACCCGCTTCAGGATCTTCTCCAGACGAATGCCAGAGCTCACGGACATCAGCTTGAAGGCGAAACCAATAAGACCAATGGCCGCCAGGGACACAATCACATTGAAGATTACTCCTTCGGTTTCAGTGTAGAAGACCAAGAACCAGCCCATCACATCGAAGTAGATGGTGTGTCCTTCGGCATATTTCTGAGAGAAAAGATCATATTAGTTTATAAATTTTATCTTTTCTTTACTAAACCTACCGAAGAGTCTTCCAACTCGGGAGAATTCGCAATCTCCCTGACCAAAGCCAGCAGATTATCACCAGTATGCTGGAGACTACCTCTGGGAAAGATCTCAGCCTTGTCGTGACGCGTGTGGTAAACATATCCATTGTATGTATAAGCCATATCCAGTCCAGGAACAGCACCATGATCGCGGAAGATACGGAAATCGGTGTCCGAGGGAATCATGTTGTTTTGGAACATCTCCTCGCCCATGGTGGAGGCATAAGGATGCTTAATGGCGCGTCTGTAATTCTTCATCAGCCAGGGGTGATTGGGACCCGATTGGAAGAGAATCTCCCGACCGCCATTGCCGCAGGAATCGAGGTTAATAAGAGCTCTGAAATAATATAATTCTATTTTTAAGAAGGCCACAATTTATAGTCAAATTTGGTCACCTACTTGCAGTATTTGGCCCACTTGTGCTGGGTGATGAATGCATGGGAAGCCTGTAGAGGGTTCTCCTCAGCTCCGTTGAACAGGAACACCACGGGATTCTTCAGGGGCTTCTCGGAGTTAACCAAAACACGGAGTACCTCCATCATTGTGGCCACCATGGAGGCATCGTCGCCGGCACCAGGACCCGCTGGCACCGAGTCGTAATGGCTGTTCACCAATAGCCAAGTGGTACTGTTGGTTCCCCTGGGGCTAACCTTGACCACAATGTTTTGGATGCTTTGGTACATGTTGACCATAGACCAATGGACATAGCTGCCAGAAGCAACTTGTACATCAACCTCGATTTCGTTGGCTGTTCCAGACTTGATTTTGTGAGTTTTCTCAGAGAGGAGTTTCAAGGCGGCCATCTCGTTGGTGCGACTGCCCACGACACGGGGTCCCAGGCTCACCAGATCCCGCAGATTGTTCTCCGCCCGCTCGGCAATAAACTGATCCGGGTGCTTGGCCTCATCCTGAATGGTAAGAGGGCGGGGCAGGTGATGGCAGGCGGGGATCGAGATGGTGACGTACAAGAGCAGCCAGAATCCAAAGAAAGCGGGTGCCCAGTACCACTTGATTTTGTTGTGCTGGATAAAGGCTCGCTCACAGCCATTGGGTTGGGTCTGTATGGAAATAAAGATACGAATTAGAAAATACATCAAAATATATGTACATCAGTTCAGTAACAGATAAGTTATTTGTTGTACCCAGGAATGGTGGTGGTTTCGGGGTTTATTGAAATAGAGCGGGGTTTAACCACGTCCATATACTTGTAGATACTCGATACCCATGTCTGACTCTGGAGACGTGACTCAGTTTCGCCATTGGAATCGTCCAGGTGTATCGAAGTCGAATGTTAGATTTAATCCATCAGTTTCGTATCTTATCTGACGGCAGTTAGGCAGGCACTCTAATAAAAATGTCGCAGTCCCTGGCTGTTGCCACCGAAAATCGAATTGGCTACTAGAAATGGTCGTCTTTTAGCTGCGCCAAACCATACCAAACCCGAAACCCCAGACGTCTAGATAAACGGGGTGTGCAACTAGGGCAACTAATACGGAGCCACTATCTCAAGGGTTTCCGCAGTGGGTTAATTAACGACTCGCCGCCAGATAAGTGGGTGCACTGGTGCCGCCAAATACAATATATAATCAATAGGCGAGGAATTTCGAAATGTTTAAAACCCTGATGGCCGGCGATTAGCCCGACGTACCGCACCCCAAATCGAAAGTGGGCAATCTAATCAAGGATCCCAAAACCGGACTGCTTACCTCATACTGCTGCGAGCTGCGGGGTCTGAGGAGGGGATCCGTATTATGCGGATCACTGGTCGGCGTAATGACGCGCCGCCGCACGTTCTTCTCCGAGCCACTCATTCCACCGGGTTCCGGATATTCCTCCTGGTCAAGATTCTAGGGCCAACCGCTCGCTCGGCCGGCTAACGCGCAACTGATCGCCTCCGGCAGCAATAGTTCTGCTAAAGTATACCTTCGATAATGTTGCCGATTTCCATATCTCTCTCTGGCACCTACGCTCACCTATGCGCTATCTTATCTGGCGGTTCTCATAGATCGGATAACCGAGTGGCAGGTAACGTCTGAGGTGTGAGGGGGTTCTCTTTTCATTATGGATTGGGCGTCAAGAATGCCTATATAACTTCCGTTTAAACTTAACATAATTCTGAACTTGACCAACAAGATATGAGGGAAATTAATTGGATCCCTTAGGGCACACTGAAAAAAATGTCTTGTAACTAAAGAGGTTTGAAATAGACTTGCCACTAAGGTTTGACATCATTATTTGTTATAGATATATGGACTTAAATAAATCTCATTCTGGATTTATGATTTATTTAAAGGGCTCCCACATTCTCCGAGTGAAAGTTACATCTAGATTTTAAACTACGGTGTTAGATACAATATTTGCAATCCGTACCTTGGCTCTTTTCTCCTCCGTTTCGCTGCTCATTCTGAAATGTTGTTCCTCTTTTTTTCAAATGTTTACGATGACACCTTTGTTTCACCTGCTGTTGCTTCTAGCCAGTCGGCAAGTGTGGAACAAAGTTCACCAAGCCGGGCTTTAATACCGTTCTAGTACAAAGCACTTGCCGCACTAACTGAATTATTTAGCTTGGTCACCGTTCTTTTGTTGACCATTTTTAGTTGTTTTTATTTGTATGCTTTTTTTGTGCCGGCAGTTTGTTTACTTTTGGTCAAGTGTGTGTTTTGGCCATTCGATTGCACCGGAATAACTATCGTAACAAAAAGTTATCGCATTAAACTAATTGCTGCTTTCAATAATAATTGCATACTTCCAGGCGGCAATTCGAAGATAATGTCTTATTACACTGGCCAACCAAATTAGAACCCTAGCGCACAAGCCAACACCGCCGTTAAGTCTGCTAAACTTGCTCACTTACAGTTATAGGCCCTGCGGGTGCCTCGCACTTGCATGTGCATTAGATAACGATGACGTGCTCCACCCACACACACACATACACACACAGCATCCCGCTTGGAAAGGAGGACAACGTGCAAAACATGTGCCATAAAACGGGAAATGCAATAATGGGTCGGGCGGAGACTGGGCGGGCGGCGCGGGGCTGTATCGTAGGCTCAGTGTCATTCAACCTAAATGCGGGAAGAGCAAGCTAAAGTTACGGGTTTTCCCCCAATCTATGTCTGTGTGTGTGTGTGTGTGCCATTTACTCTCCTGCATTCATTCACTCACTGCCACGCTCTTTTATTCATTGATGCCTTGTGGCCCACAAATTCGTAAACAAAGCGTTCACCGGAATATTGGTCAAAAGGAAATCGATAGAATGAACACGCCCGTTATTGGGAGAAAGCCGGAGAGGATCCGAAATCTGTGCTACAAAAAGAAAAATACGCCGAGTTTCCGAGTGGCCTTCCACGCCAGCAGTTTAAACTACAATTTTGGCTTTTTATTGATGCCTTGTTGGCCACCAAATGGAGGGAGCACGACGAGGCGGCGGAGGCGGAGCGCAGCGCAGGCGCAGACTGGCGATGAGAGAAGTGCCGGCTCCCACAACCAAAACAAAGCGAAATATGTGTCAGCTGCTGCTTCTTCTTGCTTTCCCGCTTTCCTTTGGACCCAAATTCGCGCGTCCTCACCCTCTCCCTATTGGCCGCCCTTTCTCTCATTGTGGCGCGTTCATTTTGGGTCTCCTTATTGGACACAGTGGTTCTAAAGATAATATTACTCATACGCCATGTTGGCTTTGACTCGCAAAGAAAATATCAATCATACGCAGTGTAGGCTTTTTCTACATTTTACCCTTATTTTAAATATTAAGGACTTAAGGTAATATATTAAATAAGAAACACTTAATTTACAAAAAATATTAATCATACGCCATGTGGGTTTATAGACTGTGAAAGATGGATGAACCACTGTGCACTCTCCACTTTCTCTGGTGCCCCATGTAGCATGGCTGAGCCGATGCCGCTGCCAAAGCCTCAGTCGCGTTTCAACGCTCGAAGTCTTTGGTCGTGCTCGCTCTTCAACAGAGAAAGTAAAAAGTCCAGAGTGCCCGCATAGCATAACGGTTCTAGGTTCTAGGAGGAACAACAAATGTACAAATATGTGCTTGGAGTAAAACGGGGCCGCGTGTCTATGTCTGTGTGCGTGTGTGTCTTGGTGCGCGTCTATCTCTCGGCCTGTTCTGTTCCCTTTGCCTAGCCTTAGCCAGGCTAAAAATAAAATTATATAATTTTTAATAAACCCAACAGCGAATGCAAATCGTATTTGAGAATCGTGCAATTTCCGTACACCAGCCTGCTGGAAAATAAAGCGGAATATGTGAGTACGGGCGGGAGTTGTGAGGCGGCGGGATGCGAACACGTGAAATGTTTGCATACTTAATGGAGGCGTGTCAGTTGTACGCAGACATTTAAGTTGGTCCGCCTGTCTATGAAGCATTGAATTAAAAATAAAATCCAGCCAAACCAACAAAAACCATACACTTTTTGTATCATGTGGGGGGATTTATGGAAATTCCGAATCCAATAAACAAGTCCTGTGCTGTGTGGCCTTTTTGCTTGAAATTGTGTTCCGATATTTTGGCCTTCTTCTGGCCTGGTTGGCCGCCCATATTTATTGCAAATCAATTAAAAGTTTTAAACAAAAAGTTTGCTGTAACCAAGGGGAGCAACTTTCGGCCGAAACTAAATTGTCAATTTGGAACTTTCAAATTGGAATACACATGGTCGTTTTTGTTTATTGATTTCGAGGGCAATTTTAGATTATTTTTCTATAGTTAGTGACTGACGGGCGCACTATCGCCGAAGTTGGCTCTTAAAAGATTAATTCGCGGGGCTAACAGGTCGTTGACCAAGCCGATTATCATAAGCCTCCCATTAGGCCCCTTATGCGGCCCACTTGGCCGCTGCTGGATGCCGTAAAGAATTTCCTTTATGAGACAATGGGCCCGTACCACACAGGCTACCCCCGAAAGCCGAGTCCTTCCTTATTTTTTTCCGTTTACTTTTGTGGGTCATAATAAAATTTGGACAATGACACAATAGCGGCAAATCAGTGGCAGGATGTGGAGCGAACAAAGCGCACGCAAGGAAGTGGAACACGAAGGGAATAATAAAAGAAAACAAAGAAGCAAAACAAAACAGAAACTGGTGAAAACTGGTAGAAAACTTTTCCAGTTAAGGTTCCTCCAAGTAGTTGGCTACTGCAGGGCTTTTCTTGATCCTTTGCTTTTAAAGAAAAAGAAAAGATTTTTACAATTGCCAGATTCGTGTCAGGATTTTTTTCCCCCTCCAATAGCCTTGGATTTTAACTCGCCCACCTTGATCCATTTTCCCCCCCCACCAACGTATTGATTGCCTGAGGACATTACTCAAACATTTTGGCTCCAATTAGGCTCCTGTTTAGCTATAATTTGAATAGATTTTCAAGCAAGTTTTCAGGACTCCCCCGACTCTGAAGAACGGATTGCCGACAATTGTTTACAATGCTGGAAAATGTCACGGCAAAAGTTCAAGTCCTTGGGCGGAGGTGCTGAGAAAATCTTGGGAAACTTTCCCATCTGCGTGTGTTTTTGAGAAGACAAAGGGCTGGGATTTCATCGAATTCGTTCGAGTCCTTGCTAATAGCGACTCCGAGCGAATCGGCGTGGCGACACAAGGGATGAGCCTCTAGGGTGGTTGGATATAGATAATAGAGAGCAGAGTGAGTGTATCTCATGCTCCAGCTCCTCTTCTCTCCGATATCCTTGTATACACTTGACTGAGCCTGCTGACAAGGCGAGTCTGCCACAAAAAAAAACCAAATAGCTTCTCAACTTTGAACTATGGAAAATACCATTTTTGTAAATGTCAATTGTTTCTGTTTACTTTTTTTTTTTATTTATCTATTTATAAAATCACATCAAGTTGAAAGGTTACTCCTGTAATAAATCAGTATTCTGCCTAATAGGACCCTTTATTTTTCTCTGTGTAGCTGCTTTCTGCGTTTCCCTGGCTGCGTGTATGCCGCTTTTTAATGAAGTCATTTGAAGCGTTCGCTGATTCGTTTGTGATTTATGAGCAGACACCACAGGACCTGGCACTGGCACTGGAACAGGCCCAAGCCCAGGCCCAAGCACAGGATGAGCTGATTTCTTCTGCCTCAAAAATCCTTCCCCCATTCCAATGGCCCAGGTGCCGCATCAATCAGTTGTTGTTGTGTCTGGCCGGGCATGTGTGTAGCTCCAGTTCACTTGTCACGATAATTGCTTCAAAATTTTTGGCCCCGGAGCTAACTGGATTACGCTAATTGGCTGCCAGATGTTTTGCCTTTGAAATTCTACCATCGTTCTTATCGTTTGCGTTCCAGATAAAGACTTACCAGTTTGAATAACGTTAATTAAGGTGGAGAAGCACTGATTGTGAATTAAGAAAGCAAATAGTATTCATGAGACATTCCCCCTTTTCAAATATTCTTTTACAGGGATTTTGTTGCACTTGTTCTCCAGGTTGTCTCTGACATTTTATGCAAATCCCTGTCTTCTGCTTATTTCGCCAGCAGTTGGAATTGTATTTAAATAATTAAGGTTATATAATTGCGTATACGACGCGTAGTCCATGAATGCTATTCTCTATGTCTTGCTGATAAAATTTTTATTTCGAAGCGTATTTCTTAAATGTAGTTGCGGTTGAAGTCGAAGACAAGTCAACAACCTAACCATGTTTGGCTTGAAGATATTATATATGTATATCCGACAACGATTGGACTATTTCAGGCTTGATTAAACAACAGCCAAGCAGAAAATACTTATAACTCAATGTCGAAAGTTTTTCTGCAGAAACACTATGCCAGGACTTGGGCGCTGTCAAATGGATATGGCTCTATAGCGGGGTTGTCCTGCCACTGCCCCTCGAATGACACTGCAGACATTGACTTATTCATGCTCCTGTTGCAGTGCAGCTTTTGTCCCGG